TGGTGGGGAGGGGAAGGAGAAAGTTGCTGGAAACCACAGGAGGGGAGAGTGCTCTTTTGCTGAAATCCTGCTTGCTGGTTTACCATAGGAACTGTTCCTTCACTGTGCGACCAGGATGCTGGACTAGGTGAACCATTGGCCTGATCCAGCAGGCTACTTTTATTAGAGGGAGACAGACAGACAGACAGATATAGAGAGATTTGTACAATACATAGAGAGTTTAAAAATATTTAAGTGCTTTATAACGGCTTTTAAATAAATTTAACTAGGATAGGGCCTAGCAATGGGTGATGATTCCGTCACATTCCCTCTTTCTTTGTTCCCCATTTTTCCAATTGTCGGGTCTGTTTTCTGCATTTCTACATAGTTTGCCCATTCCCTTATTTAAAAGCTCTCAAGAAAATTCACCAGCTTTTTAGAGAAAGCTCCAAATATACACATTTTTGCAAAGTGTGTGCTCCCTAATGGAGCCAGAGGGGGCTTCTTTTTGGCTCCGTGGTGCCAGGGTGATGGGTTCTCAGAGCTGAAGTGGCACAGGCCCCAGAGTGAGTCTGCCCACCCAGACTGGTCTCTGGATCTCCTCACAAGGAGATACACAAGGTGTACAGTGGTACCTTGGGTTACATACGCTTCAGGTTACACACTCCGCTAACCCAGAAATAGTGCTTCAGGTTAAGAACTTTGCTTCAGGATAAAAACAGAAATCGGGCTCCAGCGGCGTGGCGGCAGCGGGAGGCCCCATTAGCTAAAGTGGTGCTTCAGGTTTAAGAACAGTTTCAGGTTAAGAATGGACCTCTGGAACGAATTAAGTACTTAACCTGAGGTACCACTGTATTGAATTTGCAACCTTCTGAAAATAAAAAATTAAAATTAAAAAAGGAAAAAAGAAATGTCTCACCCAAGTCACAGGCTAGCAATGAAAGTTTCACAGGGCAAAGAATCCCGTATCTTTGGCAATGGGATGGTGGACGGTTGAAAGGGAGAGCAACTTATATTGAGCCGCCTTTCATTTCTCTCCATCAGGGGAAGAGACCAAGGAGACCCAGGATGAGGCTCGTGATGGTAAGTCTTCCTTGTCCTCCCTCCTCAACTATACTCAAAGAGGAAGCTGGTGCCAGATTCACATGGGCAGTTCCTTCTCTACTCTGTCCTAAGGATGCTGTTCAGACAGCCGTTTCATAGAATCATAAAACTGTAAAGTTGGAATGCACCCAAAGGTCCTCTAGGCCATCCAACGTCTGCTTAGAAAGCTCAATTGAAGGGGATTCCACCACTCCCAAGGGAACCTGTTCCACTGTTGAATGACTCCTACCCTCAGAAAGTCCTTCTTAACATTGAGTCGGAATCTCCTTTCTTGTTTTTTGAATTCATTGGTTTGGGTCCTCCCCTCTGGTGCAGCAGGAAAAGAAAGCTTGCTCCATCTTCCATGTGACAGTCCTATCACCATATTTCAGGCCACAGTTTTTAAGGCTGCACCTGCTGCCCCAGCCTGAGCCCGTTGTGTGGGAGGCAACATCCATTGCAGGGAGATTCAGGCTCCTTTCCATGAAGCATCAGTTCAGGTGGATGGGGAGTGAAGGAGGTCTTTTCCAGCCCTCCCCAGTGAACCTCCCTTGATCGGAAGGAGAATGAACCCTTCCCCTCTCAAGGAGAGGCCGGTGCCTCCCAGAGCCTCTGTGAAAACTATCCCCCTTTCACGTTCCATGGTACAGAAGCCACTAAACTGTTCCAATCCTCACCTCTCCTTCACAGGCTCAAGTCACTGCTGCGTGAAATATAACAGGAAACCCATTCCACTCAAGCTCTTGGTTAGCTATGAGTATGCAGGCAGTACCTGCCCCCTGCCGGCTATCATGTAAGTAGCAACAAGTTTACTTTTTAAAAAACAACAACAACCAGAAACCTCTGCATGTTCTGCATGTTCCAAAGTAACAAAGGGTTTTCTTTGTTTTCAATTGTTTGGCTCGTCACTGAGTTGCAGCCAACTTCATGTACTTGGCCAATGATCTGTACAAATCCAGCCCACCAGCAATTCTCTTGAGTTAAGGTGCACCCGGGTCACATTGAAAAGACATTGGTGCCACTTAAAGAAAGACTCTTGAGAAGATTAGTTTACCCCTTGCAGAACTACAGTTCCCAGGACACTTAAAAAATCACAGCTCCCGGGATTCCTTGGGGCAGAGCCAAAACTGTGAAAGTGGTATTAAGAGTGCTTTAAGGGTATGATGTGTGTGAGAGCAGAGTCATTCCTAAGTCTTCTAGTTGTCAGAAGGTCCCTGGATGGAATCTCCTCTCTGCCCTAGGTTGGACAAGTTGCCTTAAGCCCCTCAACTCTGATTGGATTATGTTAACCATATTTATATTATAACTCTCTATGGAGCTCAAGGTGGTGTATATGTGGCTCTCCTGTCCCCATATCATCTTCACAACAATCCTGTGAGGTAGGTTAGGCTGAGAGACTATACTGGACCCAAGATAACTCATAGAGCTTCATGTTATGCGGGTATTTGAACCCTTGACCCGGGTCCTGGAGGATGAATGTCAGGACCAGACCTCAGCACCACCCCAGTCAATCCCAAGTAAGAGAACAATCTTTTGCCCGGCCTTGACCAACTTGGAACTAAACAGACATTTCACCTTTTACAGATTCATCACAAAGGGGAAGAAAAGGATCTGCACTAACCCCGATGATCAGTGGGTCAAGGATCTCATCCGCAAACTTCCCCCACCATAGAGACAACGTCCCTCCCCTTCCTTCTCCACAGGAAGAAAAGAGAGTCCAGAGCTCAAGCTGCTTTGAATGCTGGAAAGAAACAGCCGTGCAAAACGTGAAGCAATATGATTAAAGCGAGTGATGCAGATCATGTGCTGAGTGCCTCTCATTTATAGCCTCGCAACTGAAAATGTACATTCCCAACCCTTTCATCCTGGCCAAAGGCTGAAGTGGAGGGCTGGGCTGGGCTGAGGGAGGGTGGCTCGCAACATTTCACCTCATATCTCATATTGAACAGGGGCAGCCAACATGGTATCCTACAGAAGTCATTGGACTACAACTCCCATCATCCACCTTGACCATTGACCATGATGGCTAGAAGTTGATGGGAGTTGTAGTCCGACAACAGCTGCCTTTCCTTTCCAAGGAAAGCTGGGAATCTGGCCAGGAAATGGTGGAACCAGGCACAGGAGGCAGGGCTAGGACCTAGGTAAAATCCAGCTGCCAAGGCAACATAACAACCCAAACCTGGAATGGTATTCCCTCCTTCATGGGCCCAGGACTGCAGACCCCTCCTCAAATCTGGCCATGGGTGGAAGGGGAAGCTCACTTTTTCACCCAGGTGCTCCCACTCTATACATATTAGGATGTTTCTAGTCATCAGCAAAATTCCAACCAGTCCTGACTGGGCAGGGCAGAGGAGGCGTTCAGTCCTCCATCTCTCAAAGCTCGGGGGTGTGTGGGGTCTGATAGCAGACAACTATCCCATCCTGGAGAAGGAGCCTTCAAATGATTTATACCTTCTGATACTGAGCAGAGTCACAAAAGTTTGTGGCACGTGTGTGTAAACTTCTGTTTTATTTTGGTGTTTAGGATATGTGTTTCTGTGTAGTGCACCCCTCCCACTCCTCTCCCAGCTCCCAGAGCTGATTGCAACTATTTGAATCACTCCCCCTGCCCCTGAATAGCCAGAAACAGGGGAGGCAACAGCAGAGGAGGGGGGTTATTGCTGCCATGGCCTGCTCACAGGCTTTCCAGAAGCCACTGGTTGAGACATGTGTTCTGGTCTAAGTGAGACCCCCTATGGCCAGGTTCTTCTTACATTCACACTGTAAAACAGGAGTTGGATATTCTCAAGGAGGAGCCCATGCCCTAACCCTCCCTACTGCATCCTGGACCAGCCAAAGTTTCTGGACACCCTTCAGAAGGCAGCCCCATGTGGGCCATATTGCAGCAATGCAACTGTGGGCTTTGGAGGGACCAGTTCTGGCTTTCCCAGGAACACGAGCTGAGCAGAGCCCCTCAACCCAGCAGACCTGCTGGATCCTGAGCTGTAAACTAGTTTCAGCAAGAAAATCCTGTCTATCCCTTAAGCTACATGTTGGCATCCATCTGCCTTGGGAGACAATGGAGGAATGAGCCTTTTCGGGGTGAGGTCAAGCTGTTGGAAGGTTGCAACACCTGCTGTGGCTGTAGAGACCGATGCAGGAGAGACATGTTTTGTTGCAGCTGGGGAAGATGTAAAGTTAAAGTTACTCTTTTGCTACAGGAGCATGGAAGGTGATCAGAACCAGAGCCAGTTGACAGCTGGGTGCTACTCAAGCAGAGAAGCAGACACTCCAAATGAGGGGTGGGGTGGGGTGGGGAGGTCCAAGGGGTCCCTACAGCTTTGGCAGGGAGAATGTAAATCCAGGCCTGATAAACAAGATAGTCAAAAAGGAGGTCCAGGTGGGCTTTTGGTGGAGCTAGCAGGCAGGAACTGGCCTCTGCCAGCACCAGGCAGTGATGGAAGAAGGTCTCCACTTTGGACAATGTAGCCTTTTTTTCTTTTAAAGGAGTCCTTAAGGTCATGGCTCCACTACACCCACAGCCTGGTTGCTGCCCATCCATAACCCTAAAATGGGTTGTTTTTCTCAGGAGCTTGTTCCGGCTGCCCTTTGCTTGCTTATTGCCCTGATGGTCTCCAACCCTCCCCTGATGTTTTTGAAGCATCTAAATTCTTTGTGGGTTTTCTCAGAAAGTGGATCTGCTGCTGCAGCAAAGTTGGTGCACGATAAGGCTCTTATCAACCCTTTTCTCAATCAAAGGAGCCACAGATTATGGGCCTCATGATCGGCCCATACATCAGCCCCTCGGTATCTTCATTGCTATCAGATGGAGCGGAAACTTCGCTGCTTCATACATTTCCCCCATGATGTCACCTCCGCATTCTAGAGACAAGGTGGCCAGACTTGTCTATAAAAAGAGACCAGGGGATCCTCAAGGTACTGAGCACCGAAGGAGCCGAGGAAGGAACCTGGGAGGGTCTAGAGTCCTCCCTCCATCTCCACCTGCCATGAAGCTCTCTTCAACTTCCTTCGGTTTCCTCTTCCTTGGGGCCACCTTTGCCCTGGCTTCTGTTTGCGCATGTGAGTCTGCCCTTTTCTTCTATCCCTTATTTTGACAATAGTAGTAGTAGTAGTAGTAGTAGTAGTAGTAGTAGTAGGACAACACAGGCTGTAGGACAGCAGTAGGGCACCTGCTTTGCTTGCCATAGTTTTCAGGTGTGATTCCAGAATTCCAGGTGGGGCTGGTAAAGGAAGCCCTGGACAGCAAATGCTCATCAATGCATGATGATAGTAAGAGAGACAGACCAAGGCTTTGACTCACAGAGGGCTTCCCTTTGGTTATGTAGCCCCAGGGCAACTGGTCCTCAGTGCCACCGTGGTGCAGGCACCAGAGTGAGTCCGTTTGCCCAGACTGGCCTCTGGATCTTAGCAGGAGTGGAGGGGACTGGTGGGGAAATCGCAGGGATTTCCAAACACAGAGCTGAAATGTTGGCCCACAAAAAGGCACTTGTCTCACCCAGAGAAAGCTACTATAGGATTTCCTTGTTTTGCTGGGTGAAAAAGCCACCCTAAGAAAGTCTCACCCAAGTCATAAAGGTAAAGGTAAAGGGACCCCTGACCATTAGGTCCAGTCACGGACGACTCTGGGGTTGCGAGGCTCATCTCGCTTTATTGGCCGAGGGAGCCGGCGTACAACTTCCGAGTCATGTGGCCAGCATGACTAAACCGCTTCTGGTGAACCAGAGCAGTGCATGGAAACGCCATTTACCTTCCCGCTGTAGCGGTAGCTATTTATCTACTTGCACTTTGATGTGCTTTTGAACTGCTAGGTTGGCAGGAGCAGGGACTGAGCAACAAGAGCTCACCCTGTCACGGGGATTTGAACCGCCGACCTTCTGATCGGCAAGTCCTAGGCTCTGTGGTTTAACCCACAGCACCACCCACATCCCCACCCAAGTCATAGGCTAGCAGCAAAAGTTTCATGGGGAAAGATTCCCATATCTATGGCTGTGGAACAGTGGACAGTTCATAGAGAGAGGAACCCATAATGACTCTCATTTGCTTTCTCTCTTTCAGTGGAACCTGCTAAGGAGACTCAGGATGTGGCTCATAAGAGTAAGTCTTCCTTGTTGCTGCCTCCTCAACTATACTCAAAGGGGGAGCTGGTGCCAGACACACATAAGCAGTTCCTTCCCTAATCTCTGTCCCAAGGATGTTCTTCACACGACCATTTTGGGCAACGTTGGCCACAGTTCTCAAGGGTTGTCCCTTTCTGAGCTTGTGATGGAGGCAGTGTCCACCAAAGGGGGCTTCAGACTCCTTCCCATGAAGCATCCATTCAGGTGGGTGGGAGGAAGGTCCATCCCAGCCCTTTCCAGGGACCTTTCCTGGATCAGAGGAAAGACAGTCACTTCCCCCCTCCAGAAGAGCAGCAGACTGGGACCTCCAGAGCCCCTGGGGGGCATCATCTCCCATTCCTCTTCCACACTACAGAAGCCACTAAATTATTCCATTCCCTCCCTCTCCTTAGGAGCCAACTGCTGCCTTAATTACGTAAATAAACCAATTCCATGCAAGGCCATAAAATACTACGAAAGGGCATCCAGCACATGTGCCAAGCCGGCTGTCATGTAAGTAGCAACAAACTTCATTAGATGGAGGGGAGCACAACTCTGCATGTTGAAAGTATCAAACACTCAGGGCTGTTTGTTTCAAATCCTTAGACTGGTCCTTGATTTGCAGCAGATTTGTGCAGATCCAGCATACCAGCAACTCCCCCAAGTTAAGCTGCAACAGATCACATCCACAGCTTACACTGAAAGTGCCATTTCATAGAATCATAGAATTGCAGAGTTGGTAGGGATCCTGAGGATCATCTAGTCCAACACCCTGCAATGCAGGTGTCCCTTATGGGGATCAAACCTGCAACCTTGGTGTTATCATCACCCCGCTCTAAGCAAGAAAAGAACCTTGAAAAGTGTAGTTTAGGCGACACAGAGCTACAGTTCCCAGCGCCCCAGGGAAACCACAGTTCCCAGGATTCTTTGCAGGGAGAGCCACAAGGACTGTGAATGTGGCATTAGAGGGCCAGAGTAAACCCTAAGTCTTGTAGTTGCCAGGAGGTCCCTGGCTCGAATCTCCTCTCTGCCCTGAACTGGCCATGTGGCTTTGGGAAACGTCAGCCTCACAACTCAGCATTTATATCTCTCCAAGGAGCTCAAGGTGGTATACGTGGCTCTCCCCCTTCTATATCATCCTCACCACAACCCTGTGAGGTGAGTTAAGTTGAGAGCCTAGGACTAGCCCAAAGTCACCCAACTTCATGGCTGAGTGGGGATTTGAACCTTGATCTCCTGGGCCTTAGAGGGTAAATGCAGGGCCGGATTTAGGTTTGATGAGGCACTAAGCTACTGAAGGTAATGGGGCTCTTTATATGTCCAGCTGTCCTTTGTCTCCTTTGTCAATAACAAATTGTTGCTGTTTTTTGTGTTGAATATATGCTATATGGTAATTTATGGACCTAATAGGTATCTAAAGCCATTTCCACATAACAAAATGTTTTATCTAAGTAATTGTTGAACTGAAATACAATTAAGAAGTAGTATATTAATAGTGGGGGGAAATGGGGGGGGGCAAGAGAGTGGAGCCCTAAGCTATAGCTTGTTTAGCTTATACGTAAATCCGGCACTAGGTAAATGTCAGAATCAGCTCTCTTCCCTGCAACCCAGCCACACCCCATCAGTCCTGAGCTGTGGAACTTCCAAAGCAGAGAACTGCCTTTTGCTCGGCTTTGACTGGGCACTAAGCAGACTGTTCCTTTTTCATAGATTCCACCTAAAGAAGAAGAACAGAAAGGCATGTGCTGACCCCAGCAAAGAATGGGTACAGAAGACCTTGAAGTGTTTTCCACCACCATCATAGAGACAACACCCCTCCTGCTCCTTGCTCCCTCCTCCTTCTCATCAGGAAGAGAACTGGAACCAGGTCTCAAGCTGTTTTGAATGCCAGAAAAACCAGGCTTCTGCAATATGATTAAAGGGAGTAGTTCTGAGCATGTGCAGAGTGTCTTTCTTTTAAAATTGCAGATTTGAGTGTTTAGCTTGCAAGTATATGTGTGGGGGTGCGTAAAGGTCAGCTGGAGTTACGGCCCTTTTGAGTTTTGACCTGGACAAAGGCAGAGGCAGGGCGGAGGGCTAGCAGGAGTGGGGGCCTCAGCATTTTCAGCTCAGGCAGTGAGAGGGAGAGAAGCTCCCCCAGCTGGAAGCCCTTCTGCAGCACACTCTATTAAAAAGCTCCAGATCCCTACATCCTTTTCATTGGGAGAGGTGTGGTTTTTTTAATGCAAACTCATATTTTTATTTTTGCATGAAATAAGATCTGAGCCAGAGACAGGGGTGACAACTTGAATAAAGTATTGGGAGAGGGAGCAGGTAAGCCCTGCCCCACATAATTGATCACACGGCATGTCACACACGCGCGCGCACACACACACACACAGTTTGTATGGCAATGTTCATCAACCTGAGTGGAGCTCTAATATTTTATCGAGGGGTGTGGCTGAAGGGACTTCGGCCCCTAGAATTTGGCTCCTATGGCCAGGAGGATCTTGCTGCTACCTGCAGACAGGTGTGTCACTATAGTCTCTATTTCTATGGTTAAAAGCACCACTCCCTCTGTCAATCATCTCCATGATGTCACTCATTGGCTAAAAACAGCGATAGGTGGGTGCAAACTCATATCACACAATCGATTGGACAGCGCCTTAACATTTTGAGCAAGGGCAGCCAATGAGATGCCCTCTGGATGCTGTGGGACTACAACTCTCATCATCCACCCTGACCATTGGTCACAGCTGACAAATGTCAGTTCCTTATCTCCCCCTTCACCCCCACCCCAAGATAGTTTGCCCTGGGCTGCAGTATCCCCATCCGAATGTGAGTAGCATGAGCAGATGGAGAAATTCACTGTTTCACCCAGATGCTCCCAATCTACATGCATTAGGAGGTTGAATGGGCAGGAAGGTGGGGGCATTTGGTCCCCCACCCCTCAAAGCCTTTCAGGTCAGGGGGCTGAGAACAAGCAACCCTCCCACCCAAGGGAAGGAACCTTAGAAACATTTACACCTTCTGATACTGAGCAGAGTTTCAAAAAGAGTTTGCAGAATGTGCATGTGCGTGAGCATGCGTGCATGTGTGTCTGTGAACACTGTACTTTTATATTTGTGTGCATTTATGTATAGCCCAACCCCTCCCATTCCTATCCCATCACTCAGAGATAGATGGGTGCAGACTCATATCACACAATCGATTGGATAGCGCCTTAGCATTTTGAGCAAGGGCAGCCAATGTGATGCCCACTGAATGCAGGCGGTGCTGTGGTGTAAACCACTGAGCCTCTTTTGTTGGCTGATCAGAAGGTCAGCAGTTCGAATCCCCACGACAGGGTGAGCTCCCGTTGCTCTGCCACAGCTCCTGCCAACCTAGCAGTTTGAAAGCACACCAGTGCAAGTAGATAAATAGGTACTGCTGCAACGGGAAGGTAAACGGTGTTTCTGTGCGTTCTGGTTTCCGTCACAGTGTTCCTTTGCGCCAGAAGAAGATGGTGGACTACACCTCCCATCATCCATCCTGACCATTTGTCACAGCTGGTAAATGTTGGTTCCTTATCTCCCCCTGCCTGGCCACCAACCTGGATGGCTTTAAAATAAAGGTAAAGGTACCCCTGCCCGTACGGGCCAGTCTTGACAGACTCTAGGGTTGTGCGCCCATCTCACTCAAGAGGCCGGGGGCCAGCGCTGTCCGGAGACACTTCCGGGTCACATGGCCAGCGTGACATCGCTGCTCTGGCGAGCCAGAGCCATACACGGAAACGCCGTTTACCTTCCCGCTAGTAAGCGGTCCCTATTTATCTACTTGCACCCGGGGGTGCTTTCGAACTGCTAGGTTGGCAGGCACTGGGACCAAGCAACGGGAGCGCACCCCGCTGCGGGGATTTGAACCGTCGACCTTTCGATCAGCAAGCCCTAGGCGTTGAGGCTTTTACCCACAGTGCCACCCGCGTCCCATGGCTTTAAAATAGGATTAGACATATTCATAGAAAGTAGTGCTCCCAGGGGGGTACTCAAGGGTACGCAGTACCAGCACCTCTTGCTGTTAAAAAGTATGGCACTTAGTGTAACAACTTCATTGTGAGTACCAGCACCTATTGCTCTAGAGAAAAAGCACTGATGGAGAGGGTGATTGATGGCTGCTAGTCATGATTGTTATGTTATACTCCAGATTATTATATTATACTCCCTCTGCCCCTGAATAACCAGAAACAAGGGGAACAATGGCAGAGGAGGAGGAGTGTTGGCCCAATGTGCTGCTCTTGGGTTTCCCAGAAGTATCTGGTTGCACAAATTAAGCTGGTGGCCCTCCATCACTACATTTTCCTGGAGGAACATGCTCCCTACTTTAACTGTGCTTCTCTATCATTCTCCGCTCCACATTTTTCTAAACTCAAAAGCAATGTTGCAGCCTTTCCTTCGGATCCTGTCTCTGTTTCATGGGGTGCTGGTCCCTTGCCACCTCCTCACTGAGGAGCTGCGTGGGCAGAAACTGACCTCCTTCTCATGAAATTTCCTTCCTGGAAATGGACTTAATCTTTCAATTGCACCCAGCTTCCCTTTTCCATTAACAGCAGACACGTTTGCCACTATGGTATCATCTCCTCAATTCTGGAGATGGAAATTACATAATCACAGACCACCGAGTTCATGGAAACTCATCTTGATGAAACTGAACCAAGCCCAGTAAACAAAAGAAAAGAAAACGGAAACCAGTTTATGAAGGTCGAAAGCAAGGAAGGTTACAATGAAGATTGCAGAGGGCACTACAAGCTGTTGTGGCGATTGCAATGCTCTGTACTAGATACTTTCTGGCTTCTTAAATTTATTGCCTTGTGTTTTATTTAATTTTATTTTTGCTGATTCATCCTGTAGTTTTGTTGTCCACACCCAAATATTTTATTGTTTTTATTTATGCAAGAAGCAACCATCAACATTTAACAGTTCCCACCCGACAGAAGGATCAGGTGCCTATCTAATTACACTTACCTTTTTTTTAAGGGGGGGAAAAAAACAATAAACCTGAAATGACTTTAAAGATATCATTCCACAAGTTGCTATATGTCCTCAGAGGCCTTTAACCGTATTAAACTATGGAACTCACTTCCACCAGAGGTGGTCCTGGCCACCAGCTTGGATGGCTATAAAAGAGGATTAGACAACTTCCTGGAGGAGGAGAGAGCTATAGATGGCTACTAGATGTACTCTGAATATATGCTTCTGAATACCAGTAGATGGAAACCACAGGCGGGAAGAGTTGCTTTTGTGCTTGAAACCCACTTGCTGGTTTCCCTCAAACATTTCGAGAGATCAGGATGCTGGATTCGATGGGCCACTGGCCTGATCCTGCAGGCTGTTCTTATGTCCCTGCATGAGAGTAACAGCAAGTCTCCCCACCTGGGATTCCCAGCACCTGGTATTCAAAGACATTCTGCCTCTGATTGGGGAGATACAAACATCTACTAGCCCTTGTGACTAGTAGCCATCGCTAACATCCCCACCCCACCACCAGGAATTTGTCTAATCATCTTTTAAAGTCATCCAAGTTGGCCATCATTACCTCATGTAGGAACAAGTTGCTGCCACAGCCGCACGACGTCCATGGCCAGTGTAGGGAGGGCCAAAAGAATGGACACAGGAGACTGATACAGTATTAGGTTGAATTAGGCCACAACTTTATTGATTACAGGGGAGGGTCAGTTTGGGAAAGTGTTGGGCATGTATACAACCCTCTGCAGTGCAGAAATCACAGCTAAGGAATATTTTCCGTGCACAAACTGTTGCACTTGTATTACCCTGCTCACCATTTTTCTAAACGCAAAAGCCCCAAGTGTTGCATCCTGCCTCTATATCGTGGGGTGTGGGTTGCTTGCCATCCCCCAGTGTGGGGCTGTTTGTGTGGAAACTGCTGACCTTCTCATGAAAGGTTCTACCGATGAAATGTGTCCCATCCTACATCAGCCTCCTTCAATCGCTGCATCTTTTGATTGTGCCCAACTTCCCCTTTCTGCTACCCATGAAATGATTTGCCCCCATGACATCATCTCCTCAGTTCTGAAGAAGCTCTGTGTGTTCCCTCTCTGCGCCACACCTTGTGACTTCAGCCAAAATACTATATAAGAAGAGTCTGTCCTCAAATCTGTTCCTCATCACTAGACAACATGAAGATCGCTCTGGCTTCCATAGCTGCTCTCCTTGTTGTGGCCGTGTTCTCCCTGGCCACTGCTGCCCCAGGTAAGTAAATTCTAATCTCTTTCCACATGATTCTCCTAGGAGATTTGGGACACTCACAGGGGCTTGTGGTGCCTTTTCTTGGTCCTTGATGGGCTTGGGGATGCTCTAAGATGAGGCACACTTGTGAGTGTAGTACAGGAGCTTGTTCTTTGGGGATAAAGCACTTTGAAATGGGGAGACATGGTGAGGGGCATCAGTCTCTTCATCTAAAAAGAATTAAAAAGTTTCATGGAGAGCATTGTCTGCTGTGACCCTCTTCAGCTGACCTGGAAACCTACTGGAGTTGTCAGTTCTTGTTCCGTGGCATTGATTGACCTGTGGTTGGACATTAGCTGGAATAAGGACATAAGAATGCAAGAAGAGCCATGCAGTCCAGAACCCTGTTCTCACAGTGGCCAACCAGATGCCACAATGGGTAACCCACAAAAGCAACTCTTCCCTCCTGTGGTTTCTAGCAACTGATTACTGCCTCCAACTGCAGAGGCAGATCATAGCCACCCTGGCTATTAACCATCAATAGCCCTGTCCTCCATGGATTAACCTAATCCTCTTTTAAAGCCGTACAAGTTGGTGGCCATCACTAGGGTGGGCCATCTCAGGGATGTGCCAACCAGTTTGTTGGAGAGGTGGCCCAGTGCCGTGCTTTATGGGGAGGTGTTTTTGGTTGAACATGCCCCCTTGATGCAATGCATTAACCCAAGATGGAAACATCTTAGATAGTGGGAAAGAAAAGACATAGGCACATCCATGCAGCAAGTGGAGGGGGGAGGGAAAGGAAGTTCTTCCAACAGTATTTATAACAGTATTTATATTTGCATTTATAACAGTTGTCACCCACCCCAGGACCTTATGGTGAAGGGATAGGGTAAAAAATCTTAGAAATGAAATGAATAAGTTTGAGACATGACAGCTACATGGAACCCACATGTTAGGAGGACCATGATTCTCTCCCTCCCCCCCCATGGCATCCCTATGAGATCCTGTTCATTTCACTGGGGCTTCGTCAGGAGACCTTCCTTGGAAATTGTGCCCCATCAAGCCCAGACCCATCTGTGGCCCACCATGCCGAGTGTGGACCCTGTGTCTCGTGGTTGGATTGCCCATGACAGCTTTTCAACAGAAGTGGGGAACTTTTTTCAGACCGAGAGCCAATTTCCCTTCTTGGGGGGTTCACATACCCAGAGGTAGTGAGTATGGCCAGAAGGAAAGTGGGGAGGAGGGGAAGCACGGAATGTGCCTCTCAGATTCGTACAGCAAAATATATCCCAGCCACACACCGAAAACCAGGGTCCCCCCCCCCCACACCTCCAGTCTCCAATTCTCTTCGCCTTCCTCGATCCTAGCACATGAATCATCAGCCAGGTCCAGGGAGAATTCTGAGGGCCACATACTCATGATGGGCCACATTCAGAAGGAGGTGCCTAACTGCTGCCATTAAATATAAGGGATAGAGAAAGGAAGAGGATTGCAGTCCCGTCAAGTGGATGATGGTGCCTTTGGTGATAGCTACTTTGCATTTAATACATTTACTAATTTTAGTCAACAAATCACAGTACCTGGGTTTGATGGGCTCAGGGGTGCTCCAAAATGAGGCACCTTGAGAGAGTCTGTGTAGCACAGCAGTTAAACGCAAGAGCAAGACTTGTTTTGTTTTCTGCACAATGGAAATTGGGTACAGACAGGATAAAGGGCACCACACATTTTATTAAAGGGAATTTAAAAAGCAACACTTTATTCAGAGAAATGTGTGGCAGTGATCTTGTCTAGTAGACTTCAAAGCCTACCAGAACTGGCAGAACAAGGCTCCTTGGCCTTGATAGGATAGGGTTGGGCACTTGAGGAAGGTGGAGAGCAGGGACTGGTAAAGGGAGGAGAGCATGGTCTGGGGAGAGTTCTGAGGGCCAGACGGAGAGTCCTGAAGGGCCACATTCAGCCAAGCCTGAAGTCCCCCATTCCTGCTTTTAAATGCATGAGCCTCTATGGGCAGGTAAGATGGGGGTAACCCTCTGGTCAACTGGATGATGTCGTCTTTGGTGATAGCCACTTGGTTTTTAATGAATTTCGTAAATAAATAACAATACCTGCTTTCCCCACCTCATATAGCTGAGGCAGAAGCAACTCCCTGCTGCATACAGAATTCCAAGAAGGCGTTCCCAAAGGCTACGGTGAAGGATTATTTCTACACCAGCAACAGATGTTCTCTGCCTTCCATAGTGTAAGTTTCAGAGGCTGGGCAAGAGCCCAAAGAACAGTGGGTGAACGTGGTTCAAAGGGTGAAGGGTGAAAGATGATGATGACAAAAGGTTCCAGCATTTGGGGGGGCTATTTTGAGTTGGGGGAGACACTGAAAAAATCATGAGTAGGTCTGAGAGATACAGAGGAATTGTCACCAGGGAGCCAAGATGGGTTGTGTCTTCCCACTAGGGATGGTAACAACTCTCCAATTCAGCTTCTGAGTCTTAAGTTCAGGTCAATCAGTTTTTCAGAGGTACGCCCTCTCTCTCTCTCTCTCTCTCTCTCTATATATATATATATATATATATATTGCATGAAAATTTGTAGACAAACGTTGCATATTACTCATAATCCATGCATTTATGCAAGCAATAGGTTGCACTTTTGTACATTAACACAGACATATTTGTGTGTATGGTTTGGTGGGGGAACTGTATTGCAAAATTCAGAGTGGTGCACATTTTGAAGGAGAGGTGCAATTCAGTGGGCGTTTTGGTTGGGAATTTGGTGAGGTTCTTATTACATTGTGAATAGGAGAAATTTCTCCCTCCTCTCTACACCCTGTCAAGGGTGGGCTTGGGGCCTTTTAATGTGGGAGGCAAACTCCCCGCCTGTTTCTCCAGATTCAAGAGAAGAGGGGTCCTCACACAAACGGACAATTCAAAGAGCATACTCAGTGACACACTAATGATGTCTGTTTCTTTCCCTGACAGGTTTATATTCAATAGTGGGAGGTCAGCCTGTGCTGACTCAAATGCTCAGTGGGCCAAGGATCTTGTGTCATATCTAGATAGTGTTATGAATACCACAGCCATTCCTGCCACTACCACCAGCGCATAGACCTCATGAGGAAAACGCAGTCTGAATCTCAGCAAGCCCTTTGCCACTTCAATGGGCCTCCTCTCTCTCTTTCCCCACCTCGAATTCCGGCCCCTTCATTGCTGAACAGACTTTTCATCCAAGGGATTCTCTGCCCATCAAGCAGACAACCTGCCTTCTGGGAAGGGCTCTCCCAGAAAGTGGTCCCTGAAGTCAGCAAGTGCCCCTTTCTTAGCTGCTGGAATGATATAATTTACACTATTTGAGGGTTCTTTTGTTCACATAAAGAACCATCTATTTCCAAGCAGCTTTACCAAACCTGGATTGAGTTCATCCATTTTGTTGACTTGTTTTAACTTCAATTGGACTTTGAATAAAAGCACAATTAATTGTCCTAGTTTTGAATTCCAATGTGGTATTATCTTACTTGGTGGGGTCATGCAAACAGCTATTCTGAATTATGCTTTTTGGAGGGGAGGGAGGGGGTGTTGGGTATGAGTTTAATGGAGCCAAGGGGGCAGAGGCCCAAAACGGGTTGGAAACTAGTGAGTTGCTGTCCTGACCATGGAAGTTTAGGGCAGACCTCTGTTCTCAAACACACATTTTCAGGAAGGAGGGAGCCTGGAAAACTGAGGCCAACAGCCCTGACAGTAAATGAGGTTCTAAACAGGTGCTGAGCTTAACATCAGGCCAATGGCTCATCTATCCCAGCATCCTGATCTCACAGTGGCCAACCAGATGCCCCCAACAGGAAACCCGCAAGCAGGACCTGATCACAAGAGCAACTTTCTCCTCCATTCATTTTCTCAATCATCTTTTAAAGCCATCCAAGTTGGCTGTCATCACAGCCTCCCATGGGGGAAGAGCTCCATAGATTAATAATGCCTGGAGGATTTCTTTACCGGGATGTAATCCATTGGAACAGTCAAGTACAACATTCCTTATTTCCCTAGAGTGGGCACAGGCAGGGGGATGTTACTCCAGTCAGTGTAACTTCCTCTTCCACTGGTCTGGAGCATCCTCTCCCTGCATGTGATCTGGGAGATGGATGTGGCCCTGGCTGACTCCATAAAAGAGCTGAGTCACACAGCCACTTTCTCTCTATTGGCTTTCTCTTGCTGCTCTCTTGCTGCCATGCTGCTCTCCTGCAGCCATTTTGTTCTCTTAATGTAATTTTGCTGTCTGCTGGCTCTCAGCCAGCAGGACCTGAGCTCAATCTCCATATGAGATGAACTCACAGTTTGTCACGTAACTGCTAGTTAAAGTCTGCCTTTCAGGGATCAAATCGTGAACTGAAATGTGAGTAAACTTCTGGTTACTTTATGCCTTTATTCTTTTAAGAGGGATAAAAGGGGTCACCAGGAATAATCCATCTGCGCAAGCCAGATTGGGTTACTTAACCAAAGAGATTCAAACGAATCTGCAAACTGGCTTCCTGCTATATTGAGGGGAATCTGCTCTGCTACATCACTCACTAGCGTGAGTGAATGAAAGATAATACTTATTCAATATATCCTTTCCTACTATCCTCAACCTTCCCACAAGAGGAGCAGATCATACCTTGACACACACACACAGTCTGACAACAAAGAACTGCAACAGAAGATCTACCCACCGTGGAAGAATGGCAGATGAAGGTTATAGACTATATGGGACTGGCAGAAATGACCGGCAGAATCCGAGACCAGGGAAAAGAGACGGCGGAAGAAGATTGGAAGAAATTTAAGGACTATCTTAAGAAACATTGTAAAATTATGGAATGTTAGAATGATGTTGATTTAGAAATTAAGTGGTTTTCAGCTGTAATGATTAGGTAAATAAGAAAAGAAAGGTCAAAAATTAAATAGAAATTAGGGGAGGGATTTGCTGAATTGAATTAATTAGAGATTGGAATACAGAAAGGGGAGGTATGAGGAGGTCGGGAAAATAGGTTTTATGAATATAAGGGATTGAAATTATACTTGTTGTAGTATGTATTTTGTATGTATATATTTTTGTTTTTTCTGTTTTCTTGTTTTTTCTATTTTATACAAACTTTTAAAAAACCTTAATAAATATCTTATAAAAAAAGACAACAAAGAACTGCAAACCAGAAAGAGCCACACAGTCCTGAGTGAGAAGGTAGAGTGGTTTTATTTGATCCGTGTGCTGAGAGGGTCGCAGAAATTCAGCAGGAAGGACAGAGAGTGAGAAAAGGACCCTTTCCAAGTACAGATACCAAAAAGGCAGAGAAGGTGTTCGTTTGACAGGACTCCATTTGTCAGAGGATTATTTTTTATATATATAATAGAAAAACACACAATTCCACACCAAAATGTACACCGCTTGTGGGGGGAGGACACGAGTCTTTATCCCCTCCTCCTGTTTTAATTGTCCATGTAAGAAACTCAGAGTTGTACATTGATGCAGACTGTAAGACTTCAGAACGCCCCCCGAAACCCTCCTGCCTCTCTGCACAAAGAGGACACCCAGGACTTCACATCTGTGGCAGGACAAGACTCCTCAGAGTCAGGGCTAGGAAGAGCCTTGCCACCCCAAGACCACCATTCCTTGGCACACCAGCTCTTGAAAGCATTGGAGGGGCCATAATCTTCTGGTGCTTGCAACTTCATCACCCAGCCTGAGTTTTATCAAGAACTACAGCTGTGTTTGACTGTCCAGACTGGTTTTCATTTGCTTAGGTGATCTCACCCCTCTGCCTTTCATGGCAGAAGTTCAATAGGCATAGAGGGAACTTCTCTATGGTCATCAGCTGTCTCCTAAGATGCTGCTGATGCTGCATTTTGCAACCCAAAGTTCAAGCAGTTCAGAGTTTGAAATGCGGTCCTTTGAGATAATCACTGGACAATCTGTCCCCAGCTCCAAGCTCAGGGCTGGGATCTGAAGGAGACACCACTGCAGTGTTGCTGCAGGGGGTTGCACCAGATGAATTCTAACTCTGCAATCCTATGATTCCAGCCAGTTTGAAACTGGTTCAGGGATGCTGCTTTCCCACTGGAGCAATTATTAGTCAAAAACTTTCACAGAAACACAACCCTACCCCTGGAGTTTTTCAGCCTGGAGCACTAAAAGCTTTGAAATGGGTCTGCAGTACCTTCCAAGTTACGAGACCACCGCTGACTCACTCCAAATCATGGTATCACTTCAGCAGGAGGGGTTTTTTTTGTAAAAGAGGAAGTTGAAAGTGTTTTGGGTGACCTCGCTTTCTAAGATTCTTGAAACAAACTCCACAGAGAGAAGGTTCAGGATGGAGCTGAGGAGGGAAGCCCAGCTCTCTCACACCTCAGGACCAGCAGACCTAACTATTGTCTGAGTGCCTCTTGAGAATGAAAGCTCAAGATCTGGGTGATGAGTTCAAGTCCCCCTCCCCACTTCCTTTCTTACAGGACAGCAAAGGAAACAGACCAAGTGCAAAAATGTGAACCTGTGCTGTGCAACAACAGCAGTGGAAGTCGTGCGAAAGGCCCCCATTAGATAATATACACTGCACTCACAGGGTAGTGACAGGGCACGCCATTTGGCACCCCATCCTGTTCCCCTGTGTAAAGATTTCTCTCTTTCCACACCTTGGCTTAGTGAAACTGGGCTACTCAGATGCCATGGAGCTCCCCTACCCCCCAAAAAGCCATGGGTTTGCACCCAAGAGCTGGGAAAGAGAATGTGAGTGTGTTGGGTTTGGTGTGTGTGTGTTGGCGTGTATGGTGTATGGTTGTGGTGTGTGTGTGTGTGTGTGTGTGTGTGTGTGTGTGTGTGTGTGTGTTTAGGACATCAGACTTGGAAGCGCAGGTGTGAGCAAGTCCTTGCCTTTTCTGTTTGAAATCCACACTGAACACTGAACAGGCGACACATGCACTCCCCACCCACCCCTTTCACTTGGAAACACTTGCCACAACCGACTACGTTCCACAAGACACAATGGCAGCGCGCACAATTTCGACACACACACACACAGGGTGGCAGCAGCACTGAGGGGTGCTTTGGAGATCCCAATGGGGGCGAAGGAGAAAAGAAGAAGAAGGGGCACATAACACACTCCTAACGATATTTGGTTCATCAAATGGACCGCTCCAGTGTGGGGTTTATTGTCCACAAAACCACAAGCCACGAACATGCCCAACCGTGTGGCAGGAGAACGCAGGCGCCACAGCTGGAAAAAAGCCAGGCAGCCCTTCAAGCAGCAGATGCCACCTTTGCCTTCCTCTTCTCCAGGGAATTTTCCTTCCGTAAATGTTTCCGGAGAGAAGCCACGTTCGCCTCCTTCTTTGCTGATGTCCCTGTCCGTTTTCCGTCTCTTTAGAAACATGGAAATCTGAGGCCGGCTATATCAATGGGCCGCTGGAATGGAAATGACCTTTCAGGCACTTCAGAGAGTCTCTCTGCAAAGCTGCCTGCTGACCACCTCTGTGCTTGGATGGGTTCCTTCCATCCCCGAGAGAGTTGTCTCCACTGTCGGTGCAGCCATGGGGCTTGGAAACCAACCTGCACTTTTTTATTTGAAAAGCAGGTTTAGGTGCTGCCTGGGGTCCCTGCCCCTGCTCTGTGGTATGAGCCGGACCCCTTATTGCACGCTTCAAAATGTAGTATACATGTACAGACAAAGCCTCATTTGCCCGCCCAACGCACCAACCTCCAGAAACCGCAGCAGGCATGCCCCATTTTCTCTGCTCTCCACATTTCGTCAGCAGATACACAAATAGGGGAGCACGCAGGGGTGTCCCTTTGGAAGACAGACACCATTGGAGCTTGGGGGAGCCCCCCGGCCCTTCCCTGCCCAATTTGGACCCCAGAGCCACCCAGGCGGCTCTCAAAGTGCCGGAACCCAACACGCTCATCACAGGACGCAGGAGCCACGACGGCACCCTCCCCAATGCCCGCTATGGGGCAGACTCAAACTTGGGGATCCCCCCTCTGCCCCACGCAATGGGGGGCAGGAGCCGGTCATGGTCCTTGTCCGACTCGGGCTGGCTCTGGGCCCGTTCCGGCTTGGGGGTCAGGGAAGGCGGGTCGGGCTGCTGGACGGAGAGAGTCCTCCGGAGGTGGTTCCGCTTGCGCAGGAAGTCTGGCTGGGAGTGGAGGCCGAAGCTGCCCTTGCGCAGGATCATGCGCGAGTTGTTCTTCTTGGGGCGGGAGCGCAGGCTGGACTCCAGCGAGGCCAGGTGGGCTGCATAGCCTTCGCTCAGGAACTGGAAGGAAGAGGAAACAGAGAAGGACAGAAATCGGCAGCATTGAAGGCAGTTGGACTAGACCCTTGGGGTACCTTCCAATTCTACAATTCTATGATGCTTCTGGAGGGCAAAGGGGACCAGCTAGAAGGGCTGGGAGCTGGGGGCACTGTTATACAGTGGTTCCGCTCCTTCCTCCTGGACCGTGTCCAGAAAGTTATGGTGGGGGATGAGTGTTCAGACCCCTGGGCTCTCACTTGTGGGGTGACTCAGGGTTCTGTCCTCTCCCCCATGCTTTTTAACATCTACATGAAGCCCCTGGGAGAGATCATCAGGGGGTTTGGGCTGGTTGTTCATCAGTATGCGGATGATACCCAGCTCTACATCTCTTTTAAATCAGAACCAGTGAAGGCAGTGAAGGTCCTGTTTGAGTGCCTGAAGGCAGTCAGATTGGCTAACAGATTGAGGCTGAATCCTGACAAAACAGAAGTACTGTTTGGGGGGGCAGGGGGCAGGCAGGTATGGTCCTAAATGGAGCAAGGACCAGGTGCACAGCCTTGGAGTCATTTTGGACTCACAGCTGTCCATGGAGGCACAGGTCAATTCTGTGTTGAGGGCAGCTGTCTACCAGATCCATCTAGTACGCAGGCTGAGACCCTATCTGCCCGCGGACTGTCTCACCAGAGTGGTGCATGCTCTAGTTATCTCCCGCTTGAACTACTGCAACACACTCTATGTGGGGCTACCTTTGAAGGTGACCCGGAAACTACAACTAATCCAGAATGTGGCAGCTAGACTGGTGACTGGGAGTGGCCACAGAGACCACATAACACTTGTCCTGAAAGATCTGCATTGGCTCCCAGTACGTTTCCAAGCACAATTCAAAGTGTTGGTGCTGACCTTTAAAGCCCTAAACGGCCTCAGCCCAGTATACCTGAAGGAGTGTCTCCACCCCCATCGTTCTGCCCGGACAGTGAGGTCCAGCACTGAGGGGCTTTTGGCGGTTTCCTCACTATGAGAAGTGAGATTACAGGGAACCAGGCAGAGGGCCTTCTCGGCGGTGGCACCCGCCCTGTGGAATGTCCTCCCATCAGATGTCAAGGAAATAAACAACTATAAGACATTTACAAGAAATCTGAAGGCAGCCCTGTTTAGGGAAGTTTTTAATGTTTGACATTTTATTCTGTTTTTAATCTGTTGGGAGCTGCCCAGAGTGGGTGGGGAAACCTAGCTGGAGGGGCGGGGTATAAATAATAAATTTTTATTGTTATTGTTACGAGAATGTGAGGACTGAGGTGCTGTTTCCTGAAGTCCAAAGTGCCCAGGGCAAGGGAACAGAAGCCCATTCACAACTGTCCTTTTCACCCTTTGGACCTGCCCCTTGCAAAGAGTCAACTCTCACATGAACTCAGTCAGTAACTGGAGAGGCAAATGCAGAAAAGTAGGGTCCTACCCTTCCTCACAGCGATGCCGCCTTCTAAGATTATGCAACAATCTTACAGTTATACAACAACAATAACAAATAGGGCTGCAGTGCAGTTAAATTCTATGAGATTCCCTTGCCTTGCTTTTCGGCTAGATCAGTGGTTCCCACAGTGGGCGGTACCACCCCCTGGGGGGCAGCAGGATTCCCTAGGGAGGTGGCTAAGAGGCAAGCAGATAGTAGAGGGGCACTGGATCAATTTCATCCAGTTTGCTTACTCCATTAAACTAAACAGTATCTGAAGAAGTGTGCATGCACACAAAAGCTCATACCAATAACAAACTTAGTTGGTCTCTAAGGTGCTACTGGAAGGAATTTTTTTTATTTTGTTTTGACTACAGCAGACAACACGGCTACCTGCCTGTAACTAGTTTCATTTGGATTTTGAATAAACGTGCAATTAATTCTTATTGCTTTGAATTGTGTGCTGCATTATTACTTTGATCGGTGAGTTGCACAAACTGCTAGTCTGAAAAATACTTTTTATGGGGTTTGGAATAAATGTGCAATTAAGTGCAACTGTTTTGAATTTTATTGGGGTACTCACCCTGGTCAGTCACCGAAATTGACTCATTCATTCATTGGGTTATTATCGTCCTTAGTGGATCATGTAAAGCGATATTGTGAATGGAGCTTTTAAATATATATAGCACAGGGAACACTAGGGATGAATTGACGGAACCAAAGGGGTGGTGGCCCCCAAAGGTTCTGGGACCACTGCTCTAAACAAAGAAATAACAAAGTCACCTGACACTGAGCCTGATATTTCTTTGCTGGCCGCCCAACGATGTAGATCTGGGAGGGGGAGAGACCCAGGACGTTGTAAACAGAGATGTCTTTCATGGAGCCATAGGCAGCACAGATCTTGATGTGGCACTAGGAGAGGATGGAGAAATGACAAAGCTTCAGCCCCTTTTCATCACATTTTGGCTGGTTGCCTCTTTGACTCACTTATCTCAGGCCTTGAAGCTGCTATGGACACGCTCTCCGTACTCTCTCCAGGGACAGAATTCTCCAAGAGACAAATTCATGGAGGAGAGGGATACCAATGGCTGCTAGACATGCAGCTGGAAGTAGCAATGCTTTTGAATATGACGGGAGGGGAGAGGGCTCTTGGGCTCGGATCCTGCTTACTGGTTTCCTGCAAGCATCTGATTGTCCACTGTGAGATGCTGGACTAGATGGGCTGCTGGCCTGATCCAGCAAGCTCTTCGTATGTTCCTAATGTCCAAAATTTGCCCCTGCAGGCAGTTTGAAGCATCAGGACTGAGCAGGAGATATTCATCCGAGCCAACGCTGGTGCCAACTGCACCGGAAGGTCAGTGCCCAGTCGGCAAAGCCCTCCACCCCAACCCGAACTAAGGATGGGTGTGGATTTGATCTGAACTTCCTGAAACAATTTTGAAAACTGAAACAAAACTCTCACTTCTCTGAATTTTGAAGTTATCCGACGACAAAAAAGTGCCCCAAAAACGCATATACTTGTGAACCAGTAAATGTGTCTATTTAAAAAATAAAAATAAATAATGCATTATATCAAGGGGGATTGCTTGAATATATCTATATATGCTGTAGATATATAGATATTGTTTGTTTGGTTTGTTGGTTATTGCATTTGTACCCCACCCCCCCACCCTCCATTCCCAAAACCCTCAAGAGGGGAAGTCCCCACCCATCTGTCAGCTACCTCTTGCACCAGGTTGCGGAGGAAGATGGTCTTCTGCCTCAAGGGGTCATGGACCAGCCCATCCGAGAAGAAGATCATCCCTTGGGGAAAGTTGTGCTGAGAGAGCCAGGAGACGACCCGCTGCTTCTGCATGTCCGGGCGCCCTGTGATGTAGATGATCAGGTAGCCCAGGTCTTGCCAGTGTCTGCAGTATGCAGGAGACACACACACAGAGAGAAGGTGCTCAAATCACAGAGTGCTCATTTTGTAGAGCTGGAAAAGGTTCAGAAAAGGGCAACCCAAATGAAAAAGTGGATGGAACAACTCTGCTATCAAGAAAGGTTGTGGCATTTTGGACTTTTCAGTTTGGAGAAAAATTATGCAAGGCATGGAGCAAGAGGGTAGGGAAAACTTTTCCTCCTTCTCTTGTAGGAAACATTGGGAGATTGGGGACAGACAAAAGAAAGTCCTCCTTCACACAGCACGAAGTTAAACTACAGAACTCCCTCCCACAGGAAGCAGTGATGGCCACCAACTTGGATGGCTTTAAAAGACGATCAGACAAATTCATGGAGGAGGAGGCTATCAATAGCTAGTAGCCATGATGCTTATGTTCTGCCTCCACAGCTGGAGGCAGCAATGCTTCTGAATTCCAGTTGTTGGAGACCGCAGGTGGGGAGGGGGCTCTTGTGCTCAGGTTTTGCTTGATGGTTTCCCACAGGCCTCTGGGTGGCTACTGGAAGAAAAGGATGCTGGACTGGGGTGGGTCATTGGCCTGATCCATTGGCCTGATCTCATGGTCCAGCCTCTAGGGTTTCCCAAGGTCAACTGAGCCTCCACCCGGCCTGAGTATGAATTAATTCTGCCCACAGAATAATTTGCTGGGAGCCCCTCACCTGACAACGTCAACTGCACCGGCCCGAACTTTGGGGTCGCTGCCCATGATGGAGACACTGGCTGCGAAGGACCCATCGATGCTGAAAACCACGCACTCCATCCCCCGGGGGAGGACAGTGAGGTAGCTGACGGCTGTGCTCTGGTCGCCCCTAGAGGGAGCAAAAAGCAAGTACCGTGTTCTCTCCAACCGCTGAGCATTTCTTCTGCACCCCCCCCCCTCAACATGGCACACAGACACCCTTCCCAGAACCTCCCAAGCCCTGGGCCTTACCTGACCACCATCTTGATGGGGTAGACACCCACCGCCAGCCTCTTCTCTTTAGGGAAGTTGTAGGAGACCCTCCCGCTGCTGTTGGTGATCTCCGTGTCAAAGTAGACCCAGCGCCCAGAAGAGGGCTCTGTCATAATGAAGATGTCAACCTGGAGGAGGAAGAGAACACCTGGATGCACTTCCTGTTATCCAGTCAGAGAGCAGGAGCACATAAGAACGAAAGATGAACCTTGGTGGGTCAAGATGATGGCCCATCTGGTCCAGCACACTATTCTCACAGGGGCCAAATGCCCCTAACAGACGAGGAATGTAGATAGATTGCCTCTGGGCCTGGAGGCTCCAGAAGAGCTTCTATCCATGGACTGTTAGGCCGCTGAATGAAAAGATAACAACAGGGCAACTGACTTTCGGGTTTGGCGGGTGTGCGTCAGTAAACGAGGGGAATTAAGACTAAGAGAGCTGAGTGGGGGGGTGTTCGTGTAATCTCACTGTATACAAGTTATACAAGTGACAAGAAAGTATTTCAATTTCAAATTTCAATTTAAATTTCAATTTCAATTTCAGAGCATCAAACGATCCTTGCTGGATGCTGTGGTACAGTGGCAACAGACCCACAGCTGTTTCTCCTGAGACCCGCCCCCCCCCACTCCCCAGCAGTTGTTTTCTGTCGGGGCATCACCAGGTCTGTGTCACAAGCACCCTACGTCCAGATATTTTTGGAGTACAACTCCCATAAGCCCCAGTCTGCAGTGGAAGAGGAGTGGGAAGCAACTTTAGTGCCAAGCAGGCTGTGATATTGGTGCATTATACATTGGGTTGTCTCTGAAGATGATTCGGAAACTTCAGCTGGTGCAGAATTCAGTGGCCATGTTGCTCACCGGAGCAAGATGGTTTGAACATATTACACCAATCCTGGTCTGACTGCACTGGCTACCAAATTAGTTTCCGGGCCCAATTCAAAGTGTTCGTTTTGACCTATAAACAGCTCAGGACGGCAATACCTCAAGGACCACCTCTTTCCATATGAACCTACCTGGACCCTGAGATCATCTTCTGAGGCCCTCCTTCGTGTGACCCTCTTCAAGAGGTCTGGAGGGTGGCAACACGAGAACAGGGCCTTCTCTGCAGTGGCTCCCTGCCTGTGGAATGCTCTCCCCAGGGAAGTTCGCCTGGCGCCTTCATTATACACCTTTAGGTGCCAGGCAAAAACGTTCCTTCTTAACCAGGCCTTTGGTTGATCTGATTTACACCCTATGCCCATTTAAAATGTTTTATTTTTGGGGGGAGGCTATTGGGTTTTTTTATATTTTTATTAGGTATTTTATGGTTTTATATCTTTATTTTGTTCTGTGGACCACCCTGAGACCCCCAGGTATAGGGAAGTATATTATTATTAATCATCATCATCATCATAATTGGTGGGGAGGCAGCACCAGCTTCTTTCCCCAATTTACTTCCCAGCTTTGAGTGCTGCAATTTTGCCCAGGTGAAGAGCGTGGCAAGGAGCAGGCAGATTTAAATGAGCCATTAAATCAAAGGGCTGCCACCCAGGAGCTGCCTCCCTTAGACTCTGCACTTCGGTGCAATACGGAACCTGCTAAAAATGCTAAGGATGGGCAGCCTTGCTCTTCCTCTGCCGTCCCACCAGTAGGAAGCCTCCCTCTGAGAACAAAGTCCCCTTCTGAAGTCTCTTTCACTGCATGGCTGACACACCCCTGTGTTTCCAATTAGCCTTAGCAGGAAGAATGAAGACCGGGGGGGGGGGCAGCGCTTACCTTTTCTCCCGTCAGGGCCACCATGTCAAGGGGGCCGTACATGAAGCGGCCAACCAGGGACTGGGGGCCATCTTCGGCCGCAATGACGTCGTTCGATCGATGGTTGGAAGTCACATTCTGAAAAGGAAAGAAATGCACTCCTGTTTTCTTTGTTGTAAGCTGTGGTGGATACCGTATTTCTCTCTATGTGTGGGAAAGCAGCATAGAAATAAAATGAATGAATGAATGAATGAATGAATGAATGAATGAATGAAAAGGCGCTCATCACCCTCAGTTTGACTTGGGTTCTCTTGCGCAGCCATTTCTCTCGGGGGTTCGAGGGACTGAGCATCGCTGGGTCCAAGCTGTTACTCTCCTTGACAGTGGTGGTTTCAAATCTCATCACCTGAAACGAAATGTGAGCATCTGAGAGGGACGGCAGCCTCGGCGGCAGAAACAGCCACGCAAGATGGCATCATTTTCTTTATAATAATGGGTTGGATTCAACTAGGTTGTTGCGTGCATGGAACAAGGAATTCCAAGGTGCCCTGATGGATTTATTTATCCATTCTGTTCCATAAAATTCATGCAATTCATTAAAAGGGGGCTTTGCAAAAAAAATTAAACAATTAAATTATGGATAATAAAAATGAACTGGTCATGAACTGGGTAAGCCAATCTTGCAGATAAACTGATCCCAAGTTGTTATTCATTTTTTATTACATTTATATTCCACCTCCCCCCCCCTCCAGGTTCCATGGTTCTCCCATCCTCCATTCTACATCTGCCCCAAGGTAGAGGGGTAGAAAAAAGTGGCCCTCTCACCTGTCTGAGGATGAAGGCAACCACGTCTGTGGACTCCCAGTAGCTGGCATGGAAGAGATGGGGGAGAGCCACTGTGGGGAAAGCCGTAAGGACGTCTGGGCAGTATAAGGCATAATCTATCCTCTTTGCCCCCCACCATTTAGATGTGACTGCAGGGAAACAAAGGAGGTCAGCATCAGCAAGACTGTGCCCCAAAGCTTCCTGTTTCTCACAAGATTCCCTGCACCCTAGATTCCCATTTTTTTTACAGATAGGTAGCCGTGTTGGTCTGCCATAGTCAAAACAAACAAACAAAATCCTTCCAGTAGCACCTTAAAGACCAACTAAGTTAGTTCTTGGTATGAGCTTTCGTGTGCATGCACACTTCTTCAGATACACTGTGTATCTGAAGAAGTGTGCATGCACTGTGTATCTGAAGAAGTGTGCATGCACACGAAAGCTCATACCAAGAACTAACTTAGTTGGTCTTTAAGGTGCTACTGGAAGGAATTTTTTTTTTGTTTTCCCATTTTTTTGTTCAACCAGAAACAGAGAGAGAGAGAGAGATCTCCTGCCTTAACCCCCAGAGACTCACTCTGGGTCACGCTAGCAGGGAGCAAGCTCTCCCTCGACCCAGAACTCTCGCTGTCGCTGCTGCCGGTGCTCCCTCGCCGCCCCTTCCCTAGAGTGGCGTTGGCAGGCTCAGAGACCCCTGGCAAGGAGAAGGAGGGCAGCTTTGCAGAATTATCTTCAGCAAACAGGGCGCTGTGGCAGTGGAGGACATCCGCTGCAAGGGGTGGAGAGAGAGAGAGAGAGAGAGAGAGAGAGAGAGATCAGGTGGCAGGAGGTGTTATTCCAGTCCAGCTTCGTCCCCCGTCCCCCCAGAAAACCATGTGTTCATGAGATGCCTTCCTTTGGCTGAGTATTCGGGGAAAGAGGGAGTCTTTTAAGCTACTATTTTGCCACTACAGAGGGACCTGTAGCTACGAACTTAATTTGTTTCGGAGGTCCGTTCTTAACCTGAAACTGTTCTTAATTAGAAGCGTGCTTTTGCTAATGGAGCCTCTTGCTGCCACTGTGCCGCCGGCACACAATTTCCGTTCTCATCCTGGGGCAAAGTTCTCAACTCGAGGTAACTCTTCCAGGTTAACGGAGTTTGTAACCTGAGGCGTTTGTAACTCAAGGTACCAGTGTATCTTATCTGATACTGCAGCCTTTTGCTATCTATCTATCTATCTATCTATCTATCTATCTATCTATCTATCTATCTATCTACAGTGATACCTTGGTTCTCGAACTTAATCCATTCCAGGAGTCTGTTCAACTCCTGAAACTGTTTGAAAACCAAGGCACGGCTTCCAAATGGCTGCAGGAGCTTCTTGCACTCAAGCGGAAGCCGCGTTGGATGTTCAGCTTCTGAAAAACGTTTGCAAACCGGAACACTTACTCCCAGGTTTGCGGTGTTCGGGAGCCGATTTGTTCAGAAACTAAGCCATTCGAGAACCAAGGTACAACTCTATCTATCTATCTATCTATCTATCTATCATCTATCTATCTATCATCTATCTATCTATTGTTTTAAGCTATTTTTGTAAGTCACCTTATAGTAAGAAAGGCATGATTTTGTTTCTTACACGAATATTGTGGCATGTGGCTACTGAGTGCCACCAGGGTATGCAAATGTCTCATTTAAGTCTACATAGAATCTTTATTCTCAATAATGATGGGACTCACAGGTAGAGAATCATTTTTATTTTTAATGTTTGTAAAGGGAAATCTTTGTATGAGGTTAATACTTTATTATCCCTTTGGAGATGCGCTCTATCTTTATACTTCTGCTCTTTGATGCTGTACATTTTTTTATTCTTTGTCCTCTTTCATTTGTTGTTATATCTGCACTTTTTGAGGTGAGAAACCAATAAAATTGGAAAACCAGAGAAATATGAGAAGTACCTAAGAGGTGGGACTTCCCATCTCCCAGTGGGTAACGCTGGTATCTCGGGACCGTAAATGGAGGCAGGAGGTGGAACTTGTTCTCCAGTAAGGGCTCAAGTCTGGAAGCAGAGGGGTCTGCAGAGTGGAAAAGGCTGTAGACCTGGCTGCAGGCGGGATGTACCTGGGAGGCTGGAAAGGGAGAGAGAGGGAGGGGAGGAAGGAGCCCCAGAATCATCAGAAATTGCCCACAAAATGTCTTGAAGCAGGACAGAAACAGCTGCCAAGCTTGTCCCTACATTCCCAGAGAGGCTTCAGCGGAGGTGGGGGTGGGCAGGATGGGGGTCAGCTTTGAGCTGTCAAATGGAGAAATAGGACAGCCCAGTGGATTCTTGAATGAGCAGGTGCATCCCATAAACAGCAGGATTTGCTTTTTCCAGAATAATAATAATAATAATAATAATAATAATCCTCTCTGCATCTGCATCCTTCAACACAGTAACAATTAACTGCACATTCATTCATTCAGAAAATAAATATATGCAGCTAAAAGAAAGAATATGCAGCAAAGAATATTGCATGAAAAATATTTTTTTACACATCCTTACTAATGGAAATGTGAGGGTGAAGGAAATTTAAAGCCTTTAGAGTGTTTGTATATTTAGATTATTTATATATGACTACTTACCAAAAAGCTGGAGAGCTCAGCCAGTAGAGCATGGGACTCTTAATCTCAGAGTTGTGGGTTCAAGTTGGGCAAGAGATTCCTGCATTGCAGGGGGTTAGACTAGATGACCCTCGTGGTCCCTTCCAACTCTACAATTCTATGATTCTATGTGCAAAACTTCACCTACCACAAATGTACAGTAACTAATTTATAAGAAAATCAATAGCTGTTACTGAAAATTGGCTATCTTGTGACAACTCGGCACTGTAAATACAAACAAATGTGACCAATGAAAGCGCTAACGGCAGTAAATTTTTTTGAAGAAGTATGGAAAGTGTTTTGTTCGAGGCTCTAAGGCTGATCAGTCGTAAAGAAGTGATCGACGCGCTTGAAGGAGGCCACCTCCAGAGCCCCCCTACTGCCCCCTTGCCTCTTAGCACCCCTCCAGGTAATCCCCCCCCAAAAGCAACTGGGCTCACCTTCGAGGCCAGGCAGGACCGTTCTCCTCATGGCAAGCACCAAACCAAGGGGGGAGCCGAAGAGGAAGAAATCAGAGACTTCAAAGTCAAAGCGTCCCAGGTTGACGTCCAGCAGGTTGGCAGAGGTCTCAGGAGGGAAATCAGCATCCTCACTCATCATTGTGGAGTGGATGCTGGAGAGGAGAGAAGCAGAGGGAGAGGAACATGGAAGATGAACATTGTCCAGACCCAAGGTGATCAAGGGTCTGGAAACCAAGCCTTATGAGGAACAGCTGAGGGAGCTGGGTATGTTTAGCCTGGAGAAGAGGAGATGGAGAGGGGACATGATAGCCATCTTCAAATATCTGAAGGGCTGTCACATGAAAGATCAAGCAAGCTTGTTTCCTGTTGCTCTGGGGTGACGACGACGACCCAAACCAACGGATTTGAATGAGAAGAAAGTCAATCCCAACTTTAGGAAGAACATTCTGGGAGTAAGAGCTGCTCAGCCAGTGGATGGACTCCCTCAGAAGGTAGTGGACTCTCCTCTATCAGAGGCTTTTAAGCAGAGGTTGGATAGCCACCTATCAAGGATTCTGCTGCTGCAATTCCTGGATTCCAGGAGGTCAGATTAGACAACCCTTGGTGTCCCATTCTACAATTCTATACTGCCACCAAAACAATCATAGAATTGCAGAGTTGGTATGGACCCCAACAGCCATCTAGCCCAAGCCCCTGCAAAGTAGGGGGTCAGCCCTCATACATTTTGAAATGATACCAGATCCTCTTAGCTTTACAAATGTCCTAGCAGTTTTATTGATGCACCATGAGGTTTGTGAACAAAAAGGCCCAAGTTTGTTTTGTGTGCATGTTTAATTTTAATCTTAGTTCAGTTGCATGGTCCTCTTTATTTCCTTCTTTAGTCTTTTATCTTGTTGAAGATTGTGTCCTTTCTTGAATAAAGAAACATTAAAAACTTGCAAATAATTAACTAAATAACAACATGAATAGGACATGAATAGGAACTGCTCCCAGGTGCTCATAGAACTTTGGCCTCCAGGCTCCTGGATGGGCCCACCTGAGGCTGCCTCTCCTCCTCTCTCCCTTACCTGGAGAGGAAGGCGTGATGCTGCGTGATGGCGTCACATTCGTAGCTGGAGCAGTCGCTCTGTTTCCGTGGCAACGGTTGCCGGGGCTCCTCGTCCTCCATCATCCCAGAGATGTCAATGTTGCTCTTGCTGAGACGCTTCAGCTCCCCCAGGTTGGAGTCTTCGCCTGAGAGGGGATTATCCTGAAAGGACAGAGAAGTCAGCAAAGGGAATATTGAGTTGCCATTGGGACAACCCGGGCAGGGGGGGCGGTGCTCAAAAGGGAAGAGAGAACATGATGGGACACAAGAGGAGCTGGAATCTTGTTATGTAGAGAGGCCTTCATCCACTAGGGGCATTCATGGTGCAAAAATCACCAATGTATAGCCATCAAAATCTACTCCTAAAATTTGGACAGGTTTATAGTGGCAGGGAAAGAGTGGGATAAAGCAGGGATGAGAACATGAGAAGAATCTACTGGATCAGGCCAATGGCCCATCTAGTCCAGTGTTCTGTTCTCACAGGGGCCAGCCAGATACCCCAATGGGAAGCCCACATGCAAGATCTTAGCAACACTCTCCCCTCCTGTAACTGATTTATTTATTTTATTACATTTACATCCCACATTTTCCTCCGAGGAAGCTCAAGGTGGTGCACATGGTTCTCTTCCTCTCCATTTTATCCTCACAACAACCCTGCAGGGTAGGTGTCAGGGGTTCAGGAGCAGAGGCAAGGGCAAGGGAGGAAACAGAGAGTGAGGGGGAGGAGGCAGAAGAGAAAATGAGTGATGACGACGACCCGAGATCTCCGAGTCTTTCCAGTGAATCAGACGATTCACAGAAAGGAGCACCAGTGGCCAGGGCAAGGGGGGAGACTAGGGGGACACCCCAGGAAGAAAGGGCCAGAGGGGGCTCAGAGGGGAGCAGTGGGAAATCGGGACCAGCGTCACCCACAGAGAGCAGGGGAGAGGAAGGGCGCCAGGTATCAAGCGCTGGTAGCTCACAACAGGAGGGAGGGCACGAGTCAGGAGTGGCCACACCTCCATCGGGGAGCGAAGAAACGGTCAGACGGAAAGTGGAAGGTTGGGCGCGCGCGCCAAGTTCAAATGCACAGGAAGGTGGCGCAGTGAGCAGCCCGGAAAGGGAGCCAGGTCCTAAAGCCCGACGCAAGGAGACAGAAGGGTCCGGGGGGTCAGCGTCAGAAGAGTCCCGGAAGGAAGAGACCCCGGGGGCAGAGGGACCCAGAGAAGAACAGTCAGGCGGAAAAGGTGGAGTAAGGCTAGGGTATTAAGTTGGTGTACAGGGGGCGGAGACTCAGACGGAGCTTCGCTGGTCTAGCCCTTAAGACGTAGAGTTGCGCGCAGCAGCTTGAGAATGAAAACTGTAACTCAATAAAAGACTTTTACAAGTGACCGCTGGCTAGCGTGATCCTCTGTGAGCTAGGATCTGGAAGCAGCTCTGACAGTAGGCTTAGGCCAAGAGTGGCTTACTCGCCTGAGCCACACCCAGTGAGCTTCATGGCTCAGTGGGGATGGAAATGCTGGTCTCTCCAAGGACTTCCGGGGTGGTGCCATCGGTAATGGCAGATTCCCTCTGATCTGGAGGGACTGGCTCCACGGAAAACGGGTCTGTTCTGCTACAGCGAAGCAGGGACCCTTTAAAAAATCACAGGCGGATGAAGCCTGTGACCATGGGACTCAGCTGGCACCTTTCGCGCGCCCCCAATCCGTAAAGGAATCCAATTACGGGTTCCGGAGCGAAGAGGGGCAAGTGGCGCGGTGCTGAGAGTCAACTGCTTCTTCCGTGGAGCGAAGCCGCATAGCCGTTGCCGGAGAGCGCTACCTTTTTCCTGGGACAATTTGGCTACAAAAACAACTACCCGTGAGTAGATTGAATTTGGACAATTGGACTTTAAACAACGACCAGTGAGTAGAACGGGAAATTGGATTGAGATATTCTTTTTAAATTGGCACTGAAGCGGGAAGGTCTAAACAGGAAGTCAGCCTTCCGTTTCTTGTAGATAGATTAAAGCAAAGACATGGTAAACTAGAGTTCAAAGAATCGTTCGCAAAGGATCAACTTTCATCATTTAAAAGTACTGAACTCCCTTCGGAAGCAGGAGAAGAGGGGGGATTTTTTCTGGATTGTTTAAACCTGCGGAAGAGAGTGTAAAGAAAAGTAATTTTCCACCGTCTTGAACCTGGGAGCGGGGTGTCAGGACAGAAGCTTTTGGGAAGTTCATTGACTACAGACAAACGTTTGTGACAGACAGTCAAAAGAAGAGAAACATAGTGATTCCATTGTTCTCCTTCGCATGTTAAAGGAACAAATATTGACAAAATATCTGAAAAAGGAAACTTTGTTGTTAGATCTGCTTTTGAAAAAGAAAAAAAAAAAGAGATGGATACAAATAGAAGTTTTTCCCCCTAGAGGGAGCTTGTGAAACTGTTATTGTGCAGCTGCAACAGATTAAGACCGTGGGAACAGACTTCTGACCTTGCATAACAATGTACTCAGAGGCTCTGGTGCGTGCTTTCTGCATGACAAGTGCTTTACTGGAACAGTTACATGAGAAGACGGAACAGTTACATGAGAAGACGGAACAGTTACATGAGAAGACGGATTTGATGACTGTTGTGATTAGAAATTTTGGACAGGCAGTGGGTATCTATATAGAACCCACCCAGGAACCAACTTGTGCTCTGACAGATCAGATGAGGGAGGAGGTTGTTGTTGGACCTTGGGTGGTAGAGATGGAGGGAGCTGTGGCCCAGCAGGAACATGAGTTGTTGGATCTGACAAATGAATTTGGAAAAAGCCAGATTTGGAGAGATAGAGTTGTATTTGGCTTGGAGATGGGGGGCTGGATAGACCCCCCCTATGCAGGGATGGGTTTTTTTTTGTTTTTTTAAAAAGATATTTATTCAGATTTTACAAAAAAACACACATAGGTTTACAGAATAGAGAAAATTATAACAAAGATTAACAAACTAAAAAAACACACATAGAAAAAAAGAATAATAAATAAATAAATAAATAAAATGCAGGGATGTGTTGACCTTTCAAGTCTGGCAATGGGCCGTGAGGAGTCTGGGGTTGTGGGGGTCCTCAACTCTGGAGGGGGTTTGAAACACGTCTTTAAAAAACACATGGAGTTCAGTGTGGGCTATGGAAAAGGGGCTGATCTGTCGAGAAGGGACAAAAATATTGTTACGTTGGAGTTTCCACGAGTGAAAGGACTAGGAGACAAAGTAAAGTACAGGTATAAATATGAAGAAGATCTGCAGAAGGGACATGGAAGAGACTTAAGGGCCTCGGACATAAGATTACCAGGTTAATGAACTAGATGGATGGGATAGAAAGGACTGACTAAACCCGGGACCAGGAGGAAGAGACGTTGGATGAAGATTGGAAGAAAGTTTAAAAAAAAAATTATTTAGGATTGTTCTGAAAAATTAATGAATATTAGAAAAATGTTGGAACGAAATTATTTGGCTTTAGCAGAAATGTTAAAAAGAACTTTGCAAGAATATGCTATGGTTAGGAGAAATTGGTATAAATAAGATTTAAGTTTTTAATTTTAGTATTTTTTAGGTATTATAGGTTAAAATAGATTAAGGTAACTTAATGACAGGATATTATGAAAAATGGAAAGGATTTGCTGTTATAATTAACAACTAGAATACAAAAAGGGAGGTGTGAGGAGGTTGATGAAATAAGGTCATGACAGTTAAGGATTTGGGAATATTGGATCTGTTTTTAAATTTTTGTGGTTTATTCTTGTTTTTTGATTTTGATGTGTTATGTGTTTTGTTTCTGTTTTCTGATTTTGATTTTTGTCGATTTGTATTGTTTGACTGCTGTTTGTCTTTTTATTGCTTCCCCCTTTTTCCCCCTCTCTATTTCTTTGTAATTTTAAAATTCTTAATAAATATCATTAAAAAAAAAAGGAAATGCTGGTCTCTCCCAGGTCCTAGCCCCACACACTAACTGCTACACCACACCACCTGATATTGGGTCTCTGGGCCTCTTGCAAAAAGGCTTGCGATTTTTCTTAGTATCCTATTTCTCTACCCTTAATAGTAGTCTGATGGACAGAAATTCAACAGGTGCAGCTGCAACCATTGTTTCTCCTCCAAAGCTTCCTCAATGTGCTTTTTTGGTGGATAGGAGGAGCATTGGAGTTCCCAAGCAGAAGGGTGCCAGGGATCTCTCAGGAAGCCTGCCAGTCCTGACTCCTGCCCTCCACCCCACTCCCAAGAGGAAGGCACTGTACCTGGGCACTGCTGGCACTGCCTCTCCTGCTGCTGGACTGGCTTTCATCTGCCAAGCCGGTGCTGTAGCAGATGGCATCGAACCCCATAATTCCTCCCACGCAGTCCCCAATGAGGCAAACCTGGGAAGGAGAAGAGAAGGGCGGCTAAGTTGGTAGGGCATCACCTCTCAGCAAAGTCCCAGAGGCCTCATCTAGACCCACCACTCAGCATGCATACCCACACAATCCCCAAACCCATCAACAAAAGTCAAGAGAGCCTCCACCACAGCACACAGAGACAGGAGGATTCAGGTGACATGAAAACATAAGAACGTAAGCAGATCCCTGCTTGATCAGGCCAATGGTCCATCTAGTCCAGCATCCTATTCTCACAATGGCCAACCAGATGCCTCAATGTGAAACCCACATGCAGGACCCAAGCACAACAGCCCTCTCTCCTGTGGCTTCCAGCAACCAGCATTCAGAAGCATCACTGCCTCCAACTGCAGAGGCAGAATGTTGCCATCCTGGCTAGTAGCCCTGGAGAACACTCTCCTCCTCCATGAATTTAAAAGAGGCTTATTTTAAAGCCATCCAGATTGGTGGCTATCACTGCTTCCCATGGGAAGGAGTTTTAACTGCAGTGTGAGAAGAATGACTTACAAGGCCAAAACTTTGTAAGTTAACATTTATTTTCTACTGTGTGTAAGGCAGATGTCTACATCGCTTTCAGTTGCCTTGATTCCATTTAAAGAAAGGGACACGTGAGTTCAAAGTACGAACGCGAGAAAGGGAGAGAGAAATGCCCAGTGGTTAGAGGGAAGAACCTTAGCAAAGCTGCTGTCTGTGGACGGGCTGATCCCCTTAAACCCTGGCTATCGTGTTCTTCATCCAAGACAGGCATGATCGTACCTGCCCATTAAATCCACTCCCGTCAGGAGACTTGAGAAATTCATTGTAAACCTGGTTGGCTCGGCTGATCACCATGGCAACCGCATCCTGGTACTGCGGGGAGGAGATGGCCAGCAGTGGCAAGGCAGCCAGAGGGATGTGGTCTTCGCTGCTGCTCAGGGAGGTCTCATCATAGCTGTAGGGATTCAGGCTGGGGGGGGGGGGACAAGGGGGTAAGAAAAGGGACAGCACAGGGAATTAGTCAGGGCTAAAAAGCAGGTGTGAAACCACAAGGGCCATTTACAGCAGGATCCACATCTGTATTACTTATTTTCAGATTCTCTTTAAAACAAACAAAAAGACTTATTGAAGCAAAACAAATTAATGCAATAAAAATAACAGAAGTACAAAAAGCATCACAGTATGCCAACAGGAAGGTCAAATTGCAGGTTTCCGGTTTCCTGTGCACCAGGGGATAAACGCCTCTCAAAACACCACGGGAAGAGACACCGAATCAGAAAATGACGGGGGAGTTGCATTTTCTGCATTCTTCTTTGGTTGGAAGAGGAATCTGGCTTTCACCCGCAGTTTGCCTGGCGGTCTGGCACTTGCTTTCCCATGGAATGCGAGGGCAGGCAAAGGCACTGGGTGCATGGAGCACTCCAGCTGCTGCGACCCAACCCACCCACCCACCCCCTATCCCGTTCCTGGAAGCACAGGTTATCCTGCTAATTGGGTTTTTTTAATGGGAGTAAACTGCAGGCATGCGCTGGAGATGATGAGATAAGAAACTGCGAAAATGAACCCAGCTACAAGGATTTAAAAGGTTTGGATTGAGAGGGGATTTAATTCAGTGAAAGAGACGATGAGGGGAGGGGAGACCATGGTTTGCTTATATCAAAGTTTTTCTCTACATTTATGATACGGCAACCCCCCCCCCCGAATGCAAGTTTTATTTTTAAAAATCTGTACAAGCGAGGAAAGAAGAAATTGGAATATAAATATGGAATTTAACAAAATTGGAACTGCATGTGAGAGAGAAAGGAATTGAGAGGCAGGAGGAAACATTACACTTTGAAAATATGGAGCAAAGTCCACCCTAACCTCCGTTATCCATGAAGGAAAGTGTCTGAGATAAGGACAATTGGCCATAAATCACTGGCAGGGAAGAAAGGAGTCCACCAGCTGCGGGAATAGAAGCTTTTGGATTAACTGTTTGCAGTCTGGATTCAGGCCATTCTTCCTAGGCTGGAAAAATGGCGAAGACGCCTTATTTGCTGGAAGCCAAATCACATGACAAAGTGATGCAGTGACTTTTGGAAACTCTGAGATAATTGCTTCTCTTGAGGCATAACAGGAACCATCAACAGTTGTAGGAATGAAGGATATAACACCATATATGGATGGGGAAACATCATGGGGTGTGTGGAACTGACACATAATAAGGATTACAGTTAGAGTTCCTCACTTGAAACTTTATAAATTACCTAATTTACCAAAATGAATGAAATCATAATATTGTATAAGGGATTATTATATATGAATGGAATGGAAATTATTAAGGATTTGGAACGCAAAAAAAATGTAGAAGAATGAAGTCATCAAGTCTCGCACACAGGGAGGGCAGTTTGATTAAATTGTATATTTTGACATTGGAATAATTGGCAGTAATAATTGTATTAATTGGATAAAATTGGTATTGTTAATAATGAGGCTGCTATTGGAACGATATTGGAAAATCAATAAAAACATTTTTTTTAAAAAGAGGAAGGCCAAATTACACGTTATGCTGTGCAGAAGGAGTCCTGTGTGTCTGTATTTATTGCATATAAAACAAAATCCCACCAAACAGCGCACAATTTTTCAGGGTCCTCCGAGCCTTTGGCAACACATAATTTACGAGTTGTTTTTTCAGCTAATGCTAAACTCCACATATTTTAATAACAATGCGAAACTTGGAAATCCTGCAAGGTTTCCATTTGGGGGCAACTGAGGTTCTGACAGCTGACAGCATCCACGTCAAGTGTTCCTGAGAGCTAAAACCTTCCAGCTGATCATCCCACAGATTTAATAAACAAAGATGGAATGGGATGTTTGGGTATTCTGGTCGTTTCCTGACAAACCAGTGTCCAGAAGTTGAATACTCGTGAAATGGAAACAAGAGGAAATACCGACGATAGAAGAATGGAGAATGAAATTGACAGGCTATGCGGAATTGGATAAACTAACTGGGAAAATCAGATATGTGCGAGACCAAAAGTTCATCGAAGACTGGGGAAAGTTTGTAGAATATCTGAAAAGTGTATGTGATGTGCAAACAACAGTTTCAAGAAGCACTGTAAAAGTTGAGATGTATTGTTAAAAAGAAATAGAAGGGGGAGGGAAGACAAATGGCAATACAAATGAAGGGAATGTGTACTGAAGAGATAAATATGGATGATTGCCAGAGAAGCTGAAGGAAGTCCAAAAAGAGATAATTTGTTAAAATTTGGATAAAACTGTACAATTGTATTGGAAAATTAATAAAAATTTATGCATAAAAAAGAAGTTGAATACTTGTGGGCAGTCCCACCGCAAGTGAGAAGTGCTGTCTCTTCTTCCACAGCCCCTCCAAGAGTTCTGAGAATATTTTGACATCATATGGGCAGTTTGCACGGTGTACAGTTCCCTCTGTGTAGGATTTTCCTGGAACACATATGCTAGGACTGGCCTATATGGTTTAGATGACCAAAGTGCATACAATTTAGAATCCTCGGTTTGCATGTGCAGGTCTTTCTCCCATGTACGTTCAATACCTAATCAATTTGTCTGTATTGCTGAGACTCACCTTGTGCTTCAACACCTCCCAAAGCCAAAGAAGTTTTATTTTATTTTTTTAAGAATTAGTTTTGTTTAGAACTAATGCATGTTCTTACAGAAAGGGGTTGTATAATACAGGTCAATGCTGGAGATGTAATGCTTGAAGTGTTTTGGCTGAGCTGTGTTACGTGGGCACGTTCAGAGATATCTTCCTTCTTCTCTGAAGTTGTTATCCCTATTGGTTTTGTATTGGCCAGATCCTAAATATTTGCAGATAGGATCATAGAATTGCAGAGTAGGGAGGGGTACTCCAAAGGTCATCGAGTCCAAACCCCCAGCAATACAGGAATCACAGCTCAAGAATCCCTCAGAGCTGGCTTTCCAACCTCTGATTAAAAACCTCCAATGAGTCAAAGAGCTGGAAATTACCCCAAGGCTCCATCTAGTCTAACCACCTGCGATTCAGGAATCACAGCTAAAGAACCCGTAAATCAAACCTAAGTTCCAGTAAGGGTAAACCACAGGTATGGGAGCCCTGTTGATTACGAACCAACTCAAGCTCCCCTTGTGTTCCCATCGGGTCGTGTCAAGGCCTTAGCCCGCCAGCCGGGCTTCAGACTAGAACAACACCCCGAGATTCCTTTAACGGAATACCCTTAAGCATGGAGGGGCAGGTGATGGCCACACCTCACCTCCCCCACACAAGGTCAAACAATGCCTAACCGCAACCCTAACAAAGTTGTGACGATTGCTACGAGGTAGGCGAAAACCAAGTGGCCAGTGCCAATCTGCCAAGTGGAAAAATTCCTACCAGGCCCCTTGGACAACCAAGGCGACCAACCGAAGTCCATAGCAAGGCTAACCTGCAAAATAGGGTGGGAGGGTGGGTGATTGAGGAAGCGAGCCAAAGAGGAAGACCTCTGGCTCGCTCCTCCGTTTAAATGGCCCCGCCCCCGCCCCCGCCCCCCGGCCAGCAGGTTGGCTGGCCGGGCTCTGACGTGGCCGGGATCCCCCAGGCAACAGGGGACAGAGTCCCCTGCCCCTGGTGGGGAATGGGTGGCCACGTGGTCCACCGCAACTCCTCCCCACTGGGAAGTGGAGCGGATCTGTGAAATGAGTGCCATCAGAGCACAGAATCATAGGAAACCGCCTGATACAGAGTCAGGCCATTGGTCCATCTGGCTCAGTACTGTCTCCAGAAGTTCAATCAGGAATCTTTTCCCTGGAGATGCTGCTGGGGACTGAACCTGGGACCTTCTGCATGCAAAGCTCTACCACTCAGCTATGGCCTTGCAGGCCCAGAAGACGAGCAGTCCACCACCTAAGAAACCCATGCAGCCCACCACCAAGAAGCCACTGCTCCATGAAAGAGAGAATGTGCAAGAGCAGAACAGCAAGGGAGGTCCAGGGGGCTCAAGTAAGCAAGCCAAGCCACTCTCACCTGGGCAGGGGAACCACAGCAGATGCCCTTTGCAGAGTGCAAGAGATGCCCCTCCTTGGTCACACAGGTGTGCTCAGCACCTGTCCCTAAGGAAGCAGCTTTTGCTATGCAAGATTTCTAAACGGCCTTGCAAGAACGCTGCTTCCAAGGCACCTGGTGCACCTGAGGAAAGGTAGATTTGCTGTAGGACATAGGTAGGATTTGCCTTTTGATGCAGACTTGATGGGGAAGGGTCCGGTGTCCAGGCAGGAAGCCTCCTCCCACCAGGGAGTTGGTCCAGGTTGCACAAGTTGAAAAGGTATCCATAACAACGGAGCCCCTAGCAACTGTGTCCAAGCTGCATCCATCTCCAACTCAGCCAAAGGTGTTGAGTCCGTCTTGGCAAGAATGCAAGAAGTCTTATCTGCAAAGTGTCCTCCAGGAATTGGTCACCAGGAGCTTTCAAGGGTTCTTAGAATCATAGAATTGTGGAGTTGGAAGGGAACCCCGGGTTCGTCTAGTCCAACCTCCTGCAATGCAGGAATCACAGCTGGGGCTCCCCAAACCTGCATGCAACAGGCATCTCACCACTCAAAATGCCACGCCGGTCTGGAGGCAACAGCAGTACTGGCAAACTTAATACTTTTTTTTGCCACAATCATTGCCACAGAGCAGTGGGCCTGAAATCCTCGGTCCTTTGATCCTCGGTCATGTTCACAGAATCACTGAACTGTAATTTGGAAGGGACTCCTAAAGGACATCCAGTCCAACCCCTATTCAGGATGGGGGTTTCTTGCCATTTGCAGATCTCTTCCATGGAAGAGCAAGGTCTTACAACCGGCCAGAGGCTGGATCCCCCAGGGCAGAAAGAGTCGCTTTGGCTCCATCCCAATGGAAAGCCTGGCCAGCCTCCTTCGATATTCTCTTAACATAAGAGCCGCCTGCAGGATCAGGCCAATGGCCGATCTAGTCCAACATCTTGTCCTCACAGTGGCCAACCAGAAACTCCAGTGAGAAACCAGTAAGTCGAATTCCAGCACAAGAGCACTGCCCCTCCTGTACTTTCTGGTATTCAGAAGCATCGCTGCCTCTGACTGTGGAGGCAGAGCAAAGCAGGGTTGCCATATTTCAAAAAGTAAAAACCAGGACACCCCAAAAGTTGTTGAGGTGTGTGGTTTTTTTTAGGAAACCCCCAAAATTGTTGAGCTTTTTTTAAAACAAAATTTTTCGATTGACTTGCCTAATATCCAGGACAAAGCACTGCCTTTCAGAAATTCCCCCGGACTACAATTCCATCTTTGAAATCCCAGTCATGTCTGGGGAAATCTGGACGTATGACAGCCCAAGAGCATAGCCATCGTGGCTCATAGCCCTTGATCGCTCTCTCCTCCTGCATGATCTGGTGGTGGTGACTGTCTCCCTTGGGAGTGATTTCCAAAGTTTAACTCTGCACTGAGTGAGGAAGGGCTTTCCTTTCCCTGTCCTCTCTGGAGGAAACCTTCTTTCCCTTCTTTGGAGACCTGACATGGTTGCCTCTGGCCAAACTGATCTGGGAGATACCCTGGATTGGCTGGCACAAAGAGGAACGCAAACAGGACAAGGTGATCTCTAATTATTTACAAAGCAGTTTAACTCAATTAATGTCGCTGAAGGCGCAGCAGCAGCAGCAGAAAATGCCAATTAGGGCAGGAGAGATGTTTTGACACGGGCACCCGTTCCATAACTGCCAATTATGGTGATGTGATGATGTTTTGAGGGCAGAGGAAGGAGCAGCTCGGGCTCTGGATTTATTTCACCGGCCGCAGAAGGATTGCTGAAGATTATTCTTTGAAAGGTTTTAATCATAGCTTGTGCAGAGCTGTACGTTAACTCTGTGGCCTGAATCTCTTGAACGCTCCTGCCTTTAACATCCCAAGTCAGTAGAGCAGGAGACTCTTAATCATAGGGTCATGGGTAGAAGCCTAACATTTGGGCAAAAGATGGTGCACTGCAGGGGGTTGCAGTAGATGACCCTGGTGGTCCCTTGCAACTCTAGACATCTGTAACTCTATGAAAGAATACTAGAATCACAGAACTGTAAAGTTGGAAGGGTAACCTAGTCCAGCTCCTCCCAGCAATGCGTTAGAAATGGAACCCAAACAACAGGGGTACGAGGCTCACGTCAGCCGCCCATTGGCAGGTGACAAGATGGAGCAAGATTGTTTTCTGCTGCACCAGTGGGTAGGACCTGAAACAATGGATTCAAATGGCAAGAAATTAGATTCTGAGTAAACATTGGGAAGAACTTCCCAATGGCAAGAGCTGCTTGACAGTGGAATGGGTTCTCCTTCTTTGGAGTTTTCCAAGCAGACATTGCATGGCCAACAGTCAAGGATGATTTAGCTGTGGTTCCTGCATTCCAAAGGGTTGGACTATATGAACCTTGGGAACCTTCTTCCAACTCTAGAGTTCTACGAATCTAGGGATGGAGGAGAGGTCACTTGAGACAACCAGCCCCACCCCCCACCCCCACAATGAGCTGCAAAATTCTTCCTTGGCAGACAGGCCAAAAAAAACCCCACCAGGTACATGGACTTTGCGGTGGAAAGTTGCAGAGGTCTTTCCAGAGGTCTTGCTAACCTACCTGCCCCCAGAACAAATGTTTCAGAATGCATCACTGAGCCAGGTGGCTCATCCCCCCCCCAAAAAAAAACCCCGCTCCTGGCTTTGCTTGAGGATTTCATCCTGTCTGCAAATTGACCGGATTTGCATTTCTCGAACTAAGACGTGGATCATATTGCAGTTAATCATTCACTTTGGGGACTCTATGTACCCAGAAAAAAAAATCATATTTGAGATTCAAATGCCTGTTTGAGAATAAAGCACATACAGGCATGCAAATTTTGCAGAGGGGAACATGCAGAAATGATGCACATTTCCCCAACGGCTTCTTGAAAAACAAAAACGTAGGATTTGTTATGGTAAGAAAGGCATCTCACATGGATGAAGAAGGAGAAAACAGGGAGGCAGGCTGGAAATCATTGTATATCTCTCCCCCCCCCCCCCCGTTTTCCGTGAAGACTTAGCTGGTGACTTCATGCTAAGCAGATTGTTTTAGCTCCGCAGCGAGAGAAGCACTAAATATCAGCCCAAACTCAGCAGAGCAAAAGCCAAATATTTCATCCTAAGCAGAGGCGTTTTTGCTTAACGGGGTCTCATTTTTCACTGGAAACGCCACACAGAAGCTTTGCCGTTCCATAAATTTGTGCACAGAGAGATCCCCGCAGGAGCCTCTGAAAAGCCAGAGGCAGTGAGCAGGGCTGAATGCCATAGATTGAGCTGCTCGCTAAGTGGAGCTGAAGGATCGCTCGCGTTAACTTGCTATGAAAATTGCCACCAGCTTAAAATCGCTCCTATTTGTTTTCTCTTTACGAATCCAGCGCTTCTAACCCAGACATGTCTCGCCATCAAGCCAGCATCCTGTTTTCACAGCGGCCAACCAGACACCCCAACGGGAAACAAGCAAGACCTGAGCACAAGAACCCTCCCCTCTCCTGTGGTTTCCTGTAACTGGTATTCTGAAGCGTAGCTAGAATCATAGAATTGTAGTGTTGGAAGGGACCCCAAGGGTCATCTAGTCCAACCCCTGCAATTCAGGAATCTTTTGCCCAACATGGGATTCAAACCCACAGCCCTGAGATTAAGAGTCTCGTGCTCTAGCGACTGAGCTATCACAACTGTGGAGGCAGAGTATAGCCTCCGTGGCTAGTAGATTTCAGTAGCCTTCTTATCCTCCTCATTATACCATTAAATTCTCTTTCAAAGGAATCCAAGTTGGTGGCCATCACTGCCCCCAGTGGGAGAGAGTTCCATAGTTTAACAATACACTGCATGCAGAAAGACTTTCTTTTATCTGCCCTGAATCTTCTAACTTTCAGGTGGACGCCCATGAGTTCTGGTGTTAAGAGGCAGGAAAACTTATCTCTATCCACTTTCTCCAGGCCATGCATTAATTTTATACACCTCTATCATATCTCCTCTTGATCACCTTCTTTCAAAAGCTAAAAAGTCTCAAATGCTGCAACCTTTCCTTATAGGGCTGTCGCTCCATCAATCATTTTGCTCGCCCCTTTCTGAACCTTTTCCAGCTCCACAATATTCTTTTCAAGGCGTGGCACCCAAAACTGTTTGCAGTACAGTGGTACCTCGGGTTAAGAACTTAATTCGTTCTGGAGGTCCATTCTTAACCTGAAACTGTTCTTAACCTGAGATACCACTTTAGCTAATGGGGCCTCCCGCTGCCGCTGCACGATTTCTGTTCTCATCCTGAAGTAAAGTTCTTAACCCGAGGTACTATTTCTGGGTTAGCGGAGTCTGTAACCTGAAGCGTCTGTAACCTGAAGCGTCTGTAACCTGAGGTACCACTGTATTTATTTGTACAATAGAAGCCTGCGAAGAAGATCTTGGCTGTTCCCATTTCCCAGGTGGGAGGCTGAGCCTAAGGGAGAAGGGCCAAAGCACAAGTTTTCCTTTTCCTCACTCAGGACTAGTTGACTGAACAATGCAACACGACAGCCAAAAGCCCACAGGAAACTCACTTTGCCATGAGGGAGAAGGCCTCTGAGCAGACAGCTGGGCAAGGGACGAGCTTGATCAGGATGTGGCCCAGGGCAGCCGGGAAGTGGGCCCGTGTGACCTTCTCAAACACCGATGTGAAGGTGTTGATGTCAGCCATCTTGCTGCTGGGCTCCCCGCCGCCCGTGTCCAGGATGTTGCCCCCATGCAGGACCAGGATCAAGACGTGGGTTTTGCAGTTCTGCTGCTGACCCCCTTCCTGGGGGAGAGAGAGAGAGAAGTAAACCAAGCTATGTACGTACCTAGAAGAGCAAACCAATCTGAGGATAAAGGTCTGAGCAGATCTCGCTTTTGAGTCAAGGGACAATGGACGTGAGAAAAACCGAAGAGCCTTGTGGCAGTGCTGGGGCTTCTACAAGGAATGAGTGAATTGCAGGGCTGGAAGGGAACTCAAAGAGAGCCCCACACCCCATGACGTCCAAAACTTTCCTCTGCAGAGCCCACCCCCACCTCCTCCTGCCCCTTCCCCACACACTGCCTGTTTATTTCCTGAAATGCGATGTGGTCAAGGCTCACCTCACTCTCCTCGTGGATCTCAATGCTGCCTTGCGCAGGATAGCGGTGCTTCCTCAAAGAGGCTCTGTAGAGCTCCCCTGGAGGAAAAGAGAGAAACCGGGGTTACCTTTCAAACCCTTTTACTCCTGGTTGTCCTGGACAGCCGCCAAATGGGCTGCTGAATTTTCTCTCCTAACAGCCCTAATATAATAGTCACGATCTGCAGGGACCACCTGGGTGGCAAACTGAAGGGCTGTATTCTTCCATATGAACCAGCCTGGGCTCTGAGATCATCGGGGGAAGCCCTTCTTCTCAGTCCCACCACCCTCACAGTCCTGCTTGGTGAGGATGCAGGACAGGGCCTTCTCGGTAGCTGCCCCCAGGCTTTGGAATTCCCTCCCTAGAAAAGCCAGACTGGCTCCCTCCTTGTTGTCCTTCTTCTGGCAGCTAAAGACTCCTACATTCTCACAGACCTTTGGGAACTGACTGTTGCTTTCACTTCTTTTTTTAAAGAAGTGGCTTTTAATAGCGCTGTGCTGATTTTACTGTCTGTGTTTTAATAGACTTGTTTTCTATTTGGCTTTAATTTCTGCTAGAGTTTAATTACTTTCTAACCATCACGTTTTATAGGTTTTTAGCTTTTTGTATTTTATCTGTGTTGTTTTGATTTCTGCAAACTGCCTTGAGTCCCAGTCTGAAAAGAAGGCAGGATACAAATAAATTTAGTAATATTAATGGTAATAGAAATAGAAATAGAAATAATAGCAGAAGACTGAGGGCAAGCAGGGGAGACTGTGTGCATATAGTATGGTCTGGCTTGTATAAACTTGTCTAATAATAATAATAATAATAATAATAATAATAATATTTCCATTACCTGTAATAAAGAAAGTAGAGACACAATTAATAACAAAATATCTGCAATAACAGGAAATGGGTGTATTATAATTTACCTAATTTACATCTGAAGTAGGTTTTACTTACATGCAGAAATTTCTTTATAATGTCTCATTGTTCTATATGTTGTTGATTCTGATTTTGTTTTTAGTTTTATGCGTCAAAATGGGATCTTGCAGGCAGCAGACTCCCCTGCCCCAGAGAACTGGGGCACAATTTCCTGTGCTGCAGGGGGTTAGACAAGAGGACCTTTGGGGTCCCTTCTGACTCTACAATTCTACGATTCCCCATTTGTAAGGTAACAAGGGGAAGAGGGAGGGCTCAATTCGCACATTGCACTCCTGAAATCTCTGGAGGAGACTCTACAAAATGTAAGGTGTGATGAAATTGAGAGGAAAGATTTTTATACTCCCGTATCCCCCCCCCAAAAAAAGCCACTTGCTCAGTCGCTTCCCACCCCAGGCTTTTCTTCCACCCGCTCAACTCTGTCTTCTCGCTCACTATCTCTGCCTCTGTTAGTTGTCAAGGAAACAGCCGCAGGACAGAATCCGATTATCTCTGTGGCAAAACCTTACTGCCATGTCCATCTCTGGGGCGGCCACCAGGAGCTCTGCCCCAGCTGCCCCCATTTTGCATTTTGATGCCAAACTCTGCACCAGTTTTGGGGAGCAGCCACAAGGCCAGAACTTCCTTCTCTCGCTTCCAGAGGCTTCTCTCCTTGGCTCTACCTGTGCATACACTGCCTCCTCGTGGGACTGCACCAGCAGAGGATGGGGTCCTGCATTTAAAACTCCTGCCCCACATTATCCAAAACCTTCCTGTCAGGGAAGAAGACTCCTCACACTTCCTCTTCGCTGCACTAGTCTTCTACAGGCAGGGTTTATGTAAAAGATGCCAGAGGATATTTTTAAAAATGAAATCCCTGCAGTCTCAAAAAAAGGGTGCTGGCCCAGAAAATGTGCTCTGATCCAAAGTGGCTCTACTCATGGGCAACAGGGTGAGGTGGGATATCTGAGGGACAGAGGATAAAAGCCAGGATAAAAGGTTGGGGTCCCAGCCCCTTTGATTGCTGGCTTTCTACATGCAGGGAGTTTTTAACATGGAGCAGGGGAATTCAAAACTGCGATCCCTCTGAAGGGCGTACTGCCACTACAGTTTTGGCCACTTGACTACCTCACATTTATTTCTTTTTTTCATAAAATGTATACATCTCTTGATAGATTTAAAAAAGTGGTTTACAAAAAATTAAACAAGAAAATGATCAACAAGAAAAATCAACAATAATAATTCAATACTTTAAAAAAGTTAAAACAATGGTAGACTAAAAACAGATTAAAACACACACCAGCTTTCTGAACATCTAAGTAGGTTTATCTAAATGATCTTTTTAGGAGGTATCAAAAAGGGTGTACGGTGAAGGCGCCTGCCTGGCGTCAATGGGCAGGGAGTTCCAGATGTGCAGGCGCTGCAACACTAAAAGATGGGTTTCTGACTAATGCAGAACAAGTATTTTGTGGCTCCCTGTAACAGGGCCGGCTCTGCTTATTGAAGCAGTTGAGTGGGCGTAAACATGTCATAGAATGTAATGCAGGACTTCAAAAGCAGACTAGCACAATAACATCACCCTAGAAAAGTGTTACATTTTTTGCATTGTGGCTGAGCACCAAGGGAGTTTCTTGCTGTGACGATTTGCCTGGGGAAACTCCTTTTGTGTGGGAGCTGAATCACCCGAGGCCACAGTCAACAAAGGATCAACATGGACATGCTGGCAATGAGCCTATGAGGGCAATTCAGCTGGTTTGAGTTGGAAATCCTGAGTTGCGGATTGTTCCCAAAGACCATCCATTGCAGAAAACATTCTGCTCTATTTCTCCGTAAGACATGAATCAGTAGAGGCTGAGCAGTCCCTGGGCCATTGCCAGGACACAGGGGTAAAATGGATGAGGAGAAACAAGACGAGCTTGAATCCTGGCACGATGGAGGCACTGTGTGAGAGAAGCTCCTGTGTCTGGGAAATTGCGCAGTTGCCTACCCTGGATGGGTTTGCTCTCTCCCTGAAGGAGAAGATTCACAATTTGGAGTTGCTCCGTCACTGGAGGCTCTGGTAGCATCAGTAGCTAAAAGTGCCTTTTAACAACTGTGACTGTTTCAACAGCTGTGGCCTTTCCTGCCCCAGGAAAACTTTGCCATAGTTCATTCATTGGTTACTTCAAAACAGGATTGCTGTAATATGCTCTATGTGGGACTTCCTTTGTGCTTGATCCGGAAGCTGCAGTCAGTGCAGAATGCCGTAGCATGATTGCTGACAGGAGTGAGGTCTGGCAAGCATACCACACCTGGTTGCCGATTCCCTACCTGGCCAGGTTCAAAGGTGCTACTATTAGTATACAAAGCCCTTAACAACTTAGAACCAGTTGACCTGCGAGATTGCCTTCTCAACATGTGCCCACTCAAATGCTTTGATCGGCAGAACTGGCACTGCTACAAGTACCACATACTACGCATTCTGCATTTATAAGAACTCCGCCATATAGTGTGGCAGCACCTACACTTTGGAACGCCCTGCCTCTTGACATCAGACCCTGTGTGGGACCAGAGGTCCCTTCACTTTACTCTTTTTGTTGCCTGATGAAAACATTCCTCTTTAGGTAACCCCACCCAGATGTTCAGAAAGCTGTTGCAAGTTTTAATTCGGATTTGGTCTACTGTTATTTTAACTTTTCAGAAGTTTTAAATTATGGTTGCTGATTTTTCTTAGTAGTGAAATTATTGGGTATTTCCCCCTTTTTCTGTACACTGCTTTGGGTGTCTTTCTTCCCCCCCTTCTTTCCAATGAAGTGTATAAATTTTGTGGATAAAATAAAATGCCCCTGTTGACATCTCCTACAGCCCTAAACATCCACAGACAAACACCATGGGTGTGGGGTTCTTTCCAGTCCAAGGGCCACATTCCATTCTAGTCACAAGCTGGCGCTGTGTGGGACCAGAGGCAAAAGTGAGCAAAGCTCCAGGATGCTGCTGAGGCAACATGCATGTTCTGCCTCAGCAGTAGGATCGCTGGCCGAGGTCCTGAAACCCACACCAAGGTCACTCTCCAAGGTGCTGATCTTACATCACCTCCCCACCTGCCAGGAAGCCAATGAATACTGACTGTTTCCAAGGTGCGCTGGGGACTGTGAATGGTCCTGTCATCCAAGTGGAGGGGAAACTGCGCAGCCAGACCCAACGGAAAAGGAGAAACCTGTGACCTTGCGGTTGAGCATACACCAGGGATGAGGTTGTATGCAGGTCCCCAGAGCAAGAGAAGAGGAAGGGGACCATAAAGAAAACTGGGTGATTTCATTAGCTGCCTGAATGAAGCTGATTATGAGGGAAATGATGTGTTGTTCTGTTTACTGGAGGAGTTTTAATGAGGTAAAATTATAAAAGAGACTTAGTCGGACTCAAAGAGGCTCCCAGGTGAGGCTCCAGCTTTTCGCCAGTTTTTCCTTGGCAGCCTTTATACTGTCATTACTGCAAGTTATGCTAATTACATCATTATACAAACTATGGGAGCAAAGAAGGTAAATTAAAATCCCACACAGAAGGTAGAACTCAGCACGTGGATGAGAGTCCTCCATTCAAACAGCAGGGGGGAAAGTCCTGATTGGATATGGACTTGTTTGAGAGGCTGTTGTTTTTTTGTTGGCGTTGGTGTTGTTTACAATACAGATCTGGGGAGGGGAGAACCAAGGCAAGCTTTGAAACATGCCAGGCCCTGCAAGGAAGGCGGGGGGGGGGGGGAGGAAGAAAAAGAGGAGGAGGAAGAGGAGGACAGCATCTTGTCCAGTCTTGCAATTCTATGACCTGGAGGGAGAGTTGACCTCCTGACCAAAGGTAAACCATCTCCAAACTAAGAGCACCTACTATTTCAGATAACACTGGCCAGGCTCAGTTAACTTTCCCTCTTCACACAGACAAGAATGCTTGGCTGCTCCAGGCAACTCCACTGCTGGCTGCTAAGTGGTCGTTCCTCAGTTGTGCTGTTTCTCTAGAGCAGGGGTAGCAAATGTGGTGTCCTGTACATATACTGCTGGATCCCAGTTCCCAGTGGCCAGCAGGACCAGCAGTCAGGGACCATGGGAGTTGCAGTCCAAGAACATCTATAGGGCACCCCATTGGCTAACCACATTCTAATCTATTCTATTCACTGCATTTACAC